AAATTGTCGGCAAAACGCTACACAGTCCCATGTCTTGGAATATTATTTTTTTACGCAAAGCGATAAAAATATTTAATTGTTTTAAAAATTAAAATGACACATAAATTTTATACATATTTTTTCAAAACAAAAATGCTATACTCAATTTTGATATCTTTTCACAACGACAGCAATTCTAATTGAAATTGAAATTAATTTGGCTACTTTAAAAATTTTCTATACTTATGAACGCTGTAAACTTTTAAAATTAATAAAGAGTTGAGTTTAAAAAGAAGGTTATTACTGAAGCAAAGTCATAAATCTACACTACATTTGTTGATACTGTTATAAAGCATACTATTGATGTACACATTAGAAAAAAAAGCTATTCCTAGTAGCCGTTATTTACGTCATCAGCATTTCTTCACTACATACGCTACGCTTCACCTGAAATCTTAAACAGTAGTCCTCAAACTTTACACAAGTGTTCTGTGGCTTTAGGCTCATTGTACATATCTCGTAACTCTATTATTATTCACTTATATATTTGAACAAATATTTAAATATTTCGTTTAAACGGAATCCTGAATGAAACTTTGGTTCCTTTAAATAAAACACTGTGTTAAGGTATAGGTAGTTGGGTTAATAAAGCGGTATCAAAAACGACAAGCTATGAATGTTGTGGGGGGGGGGGGGGGGATTTGCTCTTCGGGGGGGGGGGGAGGGATTCAATACCCTTTCGGACGAAATTTTGTTTTAATTTAGTTTATATTGAAATACATATATTTTTAAAGTTAAAAGTCCTTCATCCCACCACTCACCACCCACTCCTCGAAAATTCGAACTCCCCCCCCCCCCCACGTAGAAAAATAGTCTGGATGAAAACTTGATTAATGTGAGGGGTCACAAATATTTTGTATAACTACACATTACAAGTGGATGTATGTAAAATATGCTTAACTGTATGGCCTAAATGCTTTTAATATAGTAACACATAAAAGTAGTGTAAATATAATAAGCTTATGTCAATGTTCGTATCATTAAATAGATATTTAAAACTATGTGCTATGTTAATTTTTCAATAAGTTTTAGTACAAAATTATAAGGCTAGGCCTTTACTTTCTTTCGCCTTTTTTTCGGGTTTCGGGAGCACGCGCTACACCATTCCCTATTACGCGCGTCATCAGCTGACCCATGGGTCACCATGCCACCAGAACTACCGGTCATTCAACCTACGGCCCCGGGAGGTCAAAACCCCAGAAACACACTCCCAGTATTTGTTCTGTCCGCTGCAGTTTCTCTTTGAGCCAACCCGGCAGGAACAAAACAAGTATGTGACACCCCTTTCCGGTCACGCGGGACTGGTAATGTCGGGGTTTTCCGGGTGCGTCGTGCACTGACCGAGGTCAGCAGTCCATTCTAGTTAAAGTTAAAACGACAAGGAGGCTTCGCCATATGCCCCCCCCCCTCCCCATAGGCTAATATTATCAATATCCCTTTATAATAATTTCCATCTGAACATTTTCTCCCAAGTTTTAACATAAAATAGTATTCTGACATTTTACAAATAAAATCGATACAATAGTAAGCCACAAAATTGTCGGAAAACATTTTTAGGTAATTTTTTTATTCACATGCACCGTCACATATTTAATGTATGTAATTACATATATTTTTCACACACACACACACACACATACATCCATATATATATATATATATATATATATATATATATATATATATATATATATATATATGTAATACAGCTGTATGTAAGATTGTTTTCTCTATAATTAGAAGGTTTACGTCCAGGTGTCACTCCCTCCCCCTCGATTTGCACTTAATAAGACGCCTCTGTATATAATATAATTATGTGGCAGCTACTGGCAGGAGTAATTGTCGAAACGTGTAAACAACGTTCAGTTAGTGGTGTTGTAAAGAGTGGGTATAGATCTGCCCCCCCCCCCCCCGGTGGTATTTAAACGTATGTGTAAATATATAAAAGGGCGCCAAAAAAATACGAACGGCGCTTTAAATAATATAGCTTTAACCACGCTATCTTTACTGAAATCAACATATGTTCAATTAGCTTATTCCATTGCAAGGGATTTTATTTTCCGTTCTTTCTCCTCCCTTCATCTCTCTCACGCCATCTCTTTCTCCCACTCTTCCATATCTTCGCATTTCACAAAATCCAGACCATAGGCGCCGTAATGAGAGCGTGTGAGAAGCGTCTTGAATAACACACCCCCATGCTGTGTCAACCCTGCTCTGTCCGCAGGTGCATTGACGCGTATTCATTTCCCTGTCCAGGAAGTCTTAAAATAACTGCAAGCTGGTCGTCCTGTCTATTCATCGCCTCGCTACCGATATAACCCATGGTATGATTGTTTTTTGACACGTCCTATGATGATAAACACACTCTCTTTTAATCTATGTGTCCATTAGACATTTTCGCCTAGTGGGGGGGGGGGGGGGTTAAATTTCAGGTGGGGAGGGGGGTGGCAACACTGGTTGAAATATATTTTGTATATAAATTATATTTCGTTTGGGAGGCGGGTGGGGGGGGGGGGTAACGTGGTTTGGGAAGGGGGGGGGGTAGTGTTTCTTCCAGACTTTTTTCTCCGGGGGGGTGGGGGGGCCTTGATATTTTCGGGGGGGGGGGGGGGGGAGGGTGGCGGACAACATATTCCCGCGGAGCAAACACTGTTTAAAGTATATGTTTTCTATATAAGTTCCATTTGGATGGGGGGGGGGGGGGAGTTAGACTTCCTCGGGTGGGGGGGGGGGGGCGAAGCTATGCTGAACGCAAATCTGATTTTAAATTTAATACAACCGAGAGTTAATCATTTGATGTAAGCGTAGATAAGACTCGAGTTGTTGCTGGCGCGCATCTATTGATCATTCCCTCAAATGAAATGGACAAAGAAGTGATAAATTGACTCCTTGTGTCCACAAAAAAAAAAAGATGAATGGTGAAGCCCGCACCCAACCACACCCAGTTTTTCTTCCGCCCCCCCCCCCCCCCCCGGAGAAAAAAGTCTTGAAGAAACACTGACCACACCTCGGTCCTCGTTTGCTGGGTAGTCGTTTTCTGATTTTCTCTCTTTGTCAATATTACTACCTCTAACTATCGCCGAGCTTCTTATACACATTGACCATTATGTACTTTACTACTTAATATAGCCCTGGGTTTGCTAACATTTTCGATATTAAATAGCGGAGTTTTTGGCTGATCAAAATAGGTAGCAAATAGTTAATAGTACTTGTAGGCTATTAATTAGTAACGTTAGCCGTTTTTTTTTTATTTACTATCCAGTTACTAAGGGAGACAACTCAAGTAATATTTTTTTAATGCTGCTTAAAAAGAAAAATGGGGGAGGAGAGGCACACGTATGACGCCATTGGAAGGTGGAGGGAGGATAAAGATAGGCAGGGAGGGAAATGAGCGTGACGTCATGTATGGACGCCTCCTGAGACCACCGTCATACACGTACTGACGGTGCATGACCAACCGGTTGCTCACACCATGCACGTTTTGCCACCAATGAGTGCTCAACTGAGCACTTTCGTTTGAAGTGTTGATACGTAGCCTAACTAGCGTGTCTCAGTATCAGTACACGTTGCCGCCTAGTCTTCAAATTAGCTTTCTATAATTACAAAAAATTTGCCCAATTTTAATTGCCTTCAAATTTTTTAGAAAAAATTGTAATATGCAAATATGTAACATCTCACTCCACCCCCACCATTACTGATCCGCCCCCCCCCCCCTCCCTTTCAAGAGTGTCACCACAACAACAAAAAATGAAAATCTTAAAAACACCTTCATGTCATTTATATGTATTCGTTGCTTTTAGACAAAGCACCTGTTGTGTAATCTGTCAACACTAGCATTACAATGTTCATGATGAGTGTTTTCTTAATATAACAAAAGTTAGCTTTTGTTTCCCATCACTTGAAATGCAAATTGTTGAAAGAAACACTAGAATTGAGGGAGCTTTAAGGCTCATCTGATAGCTTTCACTTGAGCATGTGATGTGGAAAAATTCCTAAATAATCAAAGTGTAGAAAGAAACAACCTAGAAAGACATGCAAGCCTTATTCCCTTAATCAAGTCATTCCCCATGCAGTGAACAGTAGGAGACTTGCAGGCCATTTGTCTATAACCAAGTTATTTCCCATGCAGAATGGTAGACATTCCAAGTCAAAATAGGCCTTAGTGCAAGCATAATTATGGGTATAATTTTTAGTGTTAGTATTCAAGAGTACCAAGACTTGACTTAATCCTCTTTTCTCCTTGTGGAGCTTATAACCTTAATCTTAACCTTCGATCATGTCTTGTCCCCAGCAAACATTAACCAAATAAAAGAACACAAACGTATTCAAACTAAGAGAAAAAAAATTGGTGATATTATTATTTTTATATTATTATAAAAATATCAAGACATTCTTAGTAAAAAAAAAACGATGACAATATGGATAATGAAAAATGAAATATATTAGTTAATTTTGCTGCACAAATTAAGTTTTTATTCAGTTTAGGAATGGATATCAATTCAGATACATTCAAACTATCATAGTACTGTATCTAAATTGTTAGAGAAATTTAAAATATTTCTGAGAAAAGATATTTACTTTTTAAATATGTACACAGGAATACTGTTACAAATCTCTTCATAAACAAGTTTTTCTATGCTTTACAGTAATGTATATATAAATTGGACGGAAGAAAAAAGAACTTTTTTAGTGCCACTAAATGCCATTTAAATATCTAATGCTTTAATGTAGGTAGAAGAAAGTTTTACAAGTGAAACCACAAGTTTTTTAAAAAATTAATTCAGATAGAAAATAAATTTTGTGTAATAACAAAAACAAAATTTATTTAATATTTCAAAGAACTATTTCTTCAAAGTTTTTTCAGTTTTATAAATGAAAGTTAATAGTTGATTAATTAAGTAAATAAAAACCAAGCAATTCAATTTTTTTTTTAAAGAAATTTTTTTTATAAAACAAAGATGTTTTATGTACAAAGTGGAGTTTTATTAAAATTAAGATCATCAGAAGTGACATGAAATCCGAAAACCCTCACAAGAATTCATTAATGCAGCTTTATATAAGCTGGCTTATCAAAAGAAAAATAAATTCAATATTTTTTTTTAAATAATCTAATGGCACTGAAAAAATACAAATATAAATTTTGATATTACAAAAGTCACCTACCAGTAATTCAGATCAATTTTACTAAATATTCAGGAAGATCTTATACTACTTAATCAAGATTTAAATGTATATGCAAACCATCTCTAATAAGGAATCAATCTTGAGAACCTTTGAGAATCACAAGTTTAAAACTTGAATAAGCTAAATCAGTGCTAAATCTGCATTGACTAGATATAAAATACAAATACTAAGCTCTTTCTAATCATTCATATTGCTCAGTAAAATTACATGACACTGAAAATACAGTACCTTTATTTTAGCTTTTTAGAGTTTAAAATGAGCCTAGTTTTGTACATAACTGAGGGAGTGCATGTTAAAGTATGAAGAGAGAATGAATCTCAAGATGTTTCTGTCCTGTCTTTTTATCATTTATTTTATAAAAAGTGGCTATAAAATAAAAAAAGATGTTTATTAGAAACAAAATATTTTTTTAAATGGCTGTTTTTTTTATAAAGGGAATCAATTTTATGTAGTAAAATAAATGATGTTTCTTTTTAACTAACACTGTCCTCCAACTTTGCAGATGTTACTGTGTGTAGCTTCTGGTGTTTTTTTTTCAATGAACTTCAGTTCTCTTTCTATTTCTTTCTGGCGAATTTCATTTGAGCGAATTTGTTCTTGCACATTTGACACTCTAAAAACAAAATATCACTATTTGAATAAAACTATATTAACTGTGAATATATAATTATGCAAAAGGTGTCTGAAAAAGAAATGGTCTGCTATTTATGTAGCCAGAAAGAATTAGCTGGATCTATTCTTATTAAACTAACTGAATATTTTATTGAATACAAAGAATAAACAAAATAATTTAACCTTACACTCCTAACAAGCTAAAAAACTACAGCTTTTTTTTATTTTAAAAGATAGCGTAATAAAAATATAAAACTAAATAACTTACCCTACGCTGGTTCGATGACTTGAGTCTACTTCTCTGTCATTGTCATTTGATTCCCTAGAGTCTAAAAAATTATAAATAGTTACCCAATTATTGTAAATTAGTATTTACAAACATTATTTTTCAATAATATCAAGAAACAATGAATGAATACTTAACAAGAGGGGGAGGGGGGGGGGGGGTATCCAATTATTTTAAATTAGTATCTGTAGCTACTCTAAATATTTTTATTCTATAATAGTTTCCCTTTTGGACCTGATGGTCCATAAAGTAGAAGAAGTTGATTGTGTGGTAAGTACTTATTAGGGCTGGGTGAACTCAGAGGCTTTCAGTTTAGCAGTCTATGGTCCGACCATGCTGTCCCATGCTTCAAGATACTATGACTAGTGAAAATAAGACTGTCTCTTTTTTTTTAAAGTTTTTAAACTGAGAAAAGAAATAAGGACATACCATGTAAGTTTTCTCTAGGTTTGTCTGTTATGGATTCTGTCCTCTCCTCTTCTCCATCTGATTTCCACTTACTGTCAGAAGAAGAAATTTAGAGAAACATTAATATTTTTTTGTTTTATTTTTTTTTTTAAATCTTGAAAATAAATTTGCTTTAATCTTCCTTAAATTTAAAAAAAATAAATCAAATGATTGTAAAACTTAAATAGAAAAGATTGAAAATAGCTTACTGCTTGTTGGGGGCAAGGTTAAACCTGCCATTTTGATGCTGAGATAGCAGGAGAGGAACGGGACTGTCTACATTGTCCTGGCCATAACTGTCAGGATGGCTGCACTCATGATCAGGAATGTTACTGTTGTTTGAGCAGCGATTATTACTAGAGCAGTTATCTCCACACCTGTCTGTACTACAAAGCCTTAATTTCAATCGCATCACTTCAGAATCCTGAAATAATAATAATAATAAAAGCATTTAATTTACAGCAGAATAATGCATTAGCTTTTAACACATAGCTCACCAGTAGTGAAGCTAATGTAGAAGTCCTACAAGCCCCAGATGGAAAATTGTGGAATAGCAACAACCAAGTAGATATTTTTTCTCTGCAATTTTATAATTTATTCAATCTCAATTTTTATTCTCTACTATAAATGTAATCAAGCGTATGCTTGGAAAAAATGTTAACTGCTTGAAGATAAGAATTTGCTAAACACAATAAGATAGATATTGTTATGGTAGAGCCTAACAGATATAATTTGTTTTAAAAACTAAAAATGCCATGTCTGGCTAAAAAGACGTTTTCTAGTTACCTTAACTACTCCCTTTCTCCCACTATAGTTACCAATGCTTTTAAAAATTAATATGTAGGACCCAAAGATGATGAATTATGATGTGATTATAGCTGACCTTTACCTAGAGTGATGTTACGAAAGGTTGAAGATTGTTAGTTTACCTTGAGATTTAAGCATTCTTTACACTGCGCTATCTGATCCTCTCTGTCAGCTAGTTTGCTGCTTAGATCTTCAAGTTCTCTGTTCATGCAATCTAACTTCTGATGGCAGCATTTTTCTACTTGAGAGAGTTGTCTTTGGCATGCCGCTAACTTTTGAAGTAAGCATGCGTTATTTTCTTCAATTTCACCTTGGAAGATGCGCAGTGATTCATTCTGAAAGAACACAAATAAATAAAAGAATGACCATTAAGAAAACAAAGAAGAAAACTTCTCAATTGGCTAGAAACTAGACTGGATTTTTTAGTCAAACATTTGAAGTTAAACAAACAACAGAAACTTTTCTGTTTTAAACTTTTAGTACAATAATGTTGTAAAAGAATTTTTGTTTTTGAAACAAAAATTCAAATTAAAACAAATAGAAATTTAAATCAAGTAATAATTTATGGATGTTTTTTTAAAAACTAATACTAATACTTGTTTAATGTGCATGTAGATAAAAACTGATTTTAACAATTAACTCTATTCCAAAGTATAAAGAAAATTTTGTGTTAATAATGATAGGTGAATTTAAAGATTCTCAATCCAAAATCATTTTACTGTAACTGAGAGAGCTTAGTTGGCGAGGACAGGGGGGTAAAAATCAAATCTCAGGGTCATATGACATAACATTTTCTTACAAATATAATCATTTACCATTGCAGTCCCATCTACCATGTAAAACTCAATTCTTCAATAAAATTCTAAGCAACTTATAAATCAAACTCATCTAAATGAAATACCTACCTCTTTTTCAAGTCTACACTTCATTTCTGCCATTTGATTTTGAAGTTGGCAAGTCTCATTTTCTAATCGACATGTGAGGTGTGCAGCTTTACTGACTAAACAATTCTTCTCTTCTGCTAGGTGTTCAATTTCACAGGCTCTTTGCTGTAAATAAGAAAATGAGCTGTTTTTTTTTTTTATACATATATGTATGCAAAGTATCTTTTAACTAGAATAGAATTCAGTAATATTACAAATCTGATTTTATATATCAGATGGAAAATCCTGTAAAAATAATCTCATTAGTTCAGCATTTATTTGTCACTCAAAAGTGGACCCAGAAAGCCTAAATTTAGCAAAGACTTGATTTGCCTTGCCACAGATTAGTAATGACAGATTTCTATGCTAAATAAAAAAGCAGCTTGTCTCAAATACAAAAGGAAAAATCTTAATGCTAAACACATTTGCCAAGTTCAAGTTAAAAAGGCAGGTAAAATGTATACAATGATTATTTGGGAAGGTGAATTCTATTTATAAAAAAAAGCATATATGGGTAAAAATCAAATAAGAACTTATGGTTTTTTAATCCTTACAGCAAGAATATTTCTAAGGTCGTCACATTCCCGCCTTGCTCTATCACATTCTCTGTTACAGACACATAAGCTTTGCTGTGTGTCAACCAATTCTTGATGTTTTTGCTGCAAGTGTTCTCTGTAGCACAAACAACAGACAGTTTTTTAAAAATGAAACTGTATATCTTTAATGTTCTTATTATAACACTGTATTCAAATGAGGTTATTTTGCAGATGTTTAGCTTATCTTAAAGCTGTGATGTTATATTGTTTATAATCTAATAGTAATTAATTTTTTAAACATTTAATTATTTCTACTATTAATCGTACCTCTTACGTTCTAAAATTTATTTAAGAAATACTTTGATTTGTTAAAATGATAAAATATTAATATTATCAAGTTCAAAGTTGTTGGAATATCACAATGCTTTTATTAAAGCCTCCTCCCCTCTAGTTGTAACTAGAAGTACATTTAGTATTTTTCGCAATACCTAAAAATAAAATTTTTTCCCTTTATGGTTGGGGTGGGTAGGGCTAGTAGAGAAGTCCTATAGACCTCAGTCAGAGAACTGTGAAACCAATAAACTGCATCTTACCGTGTTACTCTAAGTTCTTGAGACAACTCAGCATTTTCTGCTCTTTGTTCACTTAACGCTTTGCCTAGACATTCTCTTGTCTATAAAAAATAATTCAAACAGAATCTATTCATAGTACTTTGGTAAGAGACATTTCTATTAATAGCTTCATGTTAGACTACAAGTTTACACTACAATAATTGTAACAAATATTAACATTTTATATCTGTTAAATACAAGTTAAATAAATGCTATCACATTTCTAAACACATCCTTCTGTGGCACACTTTTGAGAGTCAGACCCTTTGGTGTGTTATGTCATTTAAGGAAAACCAGATAACCCCTAAGAACATGCAAGCATACAATGTTTACCTCTTCACATTCCTTGAGCTTAAGTTGACAAGCATTCCAGTCTGAACATAATCGAGCATTCTTCTGCTCCAAAACACAAGCCTCATTTGCCTTCTCATTTAGGTTATGCTGGCATCGCGTTAAACAGTCGTCAAGATCTGCAATCTAAATAATAGCTCAGTGTATATTCAGCAGTTTATTTTTCTTCCATTTATACAAACTTTAGCTACACAAGTATTTCCATCATTGATAAAATGTTAATAATGGTTAAAAATTATTCAGTACAAAATAATAAAGACTATCAATAAACCTTTACTTCTTTTAACTTTTCTCTCAATTATGCTAAAATATGTTTGGTTTCAAAAAAATTCAACAGCTTGGAGTTAAATATAAAATCTACAGTAGGTTCTTATAAAACAGCATGTCAAGGTTTGTTTTTGTATGCTGAAATAAATGAGTTAGGGTCAGCTTTAAGGTCAATGTAGAAAAAAGAACTTTGAAATGCCCTGACATGTTCCTGTGTTCTCAATAATAAAAGACACAATTACCTGCTTTGATTTATCGCAAAGCTCACACTCGTATTTCTTAAGTTGTTCATCAACTCGCTTCATTCGCTTTTCAATATCTTTATTCAGATTTTCTATAGCTTTCTCAAGTTCATCAACCTAATAGATAGGGAGAAAATGCACAGAAACATTCAATTATGTATTTACATTTATATACATTTATAGATCTAAATACAGTTTTTTGATTAGCCTGGAAACACTTGAAATGAAAAATAGCTTAAGACAGATAAATAATGATGTTCCAAAAAAATAATAGATATCCACTATACATTATTTAACACCAAGTTCTTTTGCCAATGAGAAATAGTCCAAAAGTTAAACAATTTGCTGTATATATAAAAATTATGAACTTTAATACTAACACCAAGAGATAACAATATCAATTATAACAATAATTATATACCAAAGTAATCATAGAATAAAATCTGGTCATATGAAGTCTTACCCGAGCTATTCGCTCATGAAGTTTGCAATTTAATTCTTCTAAAGTGCAATTTTGCATTCTAATCTCCTCGCATTTGTCCCGCAGTTCCATCTGACTTCGTCTGTGATAGAAAACAAAAAGAAAATTGCATATACTATACAGTGCAGTAATGTATCTACACTTTAGTTTAATATCTTATTAAAAACTAGAATAAAATTTTCAATTTTTTTTTGTTTTATCCACAGCATGAATTGTCAAGTTAAAAAAATAAGCCATCCATAGTGTGCTGTTGTGAATGCTGTAGACATATTTTGAAAAATTTGCACTTTAACAATCAAAATTTTTCAAATGAAGAAGAATTTACCAATATAGATATTTAAATAAATTAAAATTACACTGATAACTTACTTAAGTGCTTCTTCACACTCGCACAACATCTTGGACTGACATAGAAGCTCTTCTCTGCAACTTTTGATTTTATCTTGGAGAGAAGCAGATGCGCCGCCGCTAGAATTCTACAAATTAAAGTTACTTCATTTAATTACAAAAAACTGTATGACATAAAATTATAGTAATAGTTTTTAAAAATGTAATAACTTATAATAATTCATTTTACTATTTGTATTTTGAAAAAAAAAGTTTTCACATCTAAGAAAGGCTTCAAATGTTCAACTATCAAATAATTAGTTTATAATTGTATAATTTAAAAAATTAATCAACTTAAAATGTAATCAACCTCAATCTGTACAGACATTAAGTGTACTCACCACATAGAGCAAAATTTTAGTGCAGAATTTTACTTAATACTTTAAAAAACGTTTACTTACTACTTCCTGTGAAGAAAGAATTATAAAAAAAATTAATTTTCTTAGAGATCAATGATGAAAATACATTTCTCATAACATCACAGAATCAAAAAGAAATATATAAAACTATTTCTAATTTTAGTATGTAGAAAGATAACTATGAGACCTACTTCTTGTAAGCACTTTAGTTTTTCTTGTAGCTCCTCAATAAATCGTTGACAACATTTGATTTCTTGGTCTTTATTACATACTATACTCTCTAAATCACGTACTAAATGAAAAGACATTTTTCTAATTAATTTTTCGGTCAGAAAATATTTTACTAGACAAAAAGTGGTGATATTGAAGATGTCTTTTTATAAATTATGCTTAAAATAATAGGTTTTTATAATTAATTTAAAAAATGCAAGAAATAAAGTGAAGTGCCATTTATAAATATTGCCAACAATATTCAGAGCGCATAAATAAAAATAATGAAAACCCCCTATGTCTATTTAATTGTTGAACATCAGGGTTTTATTATTAAAACCTGAGATGTTACCCTAAAAAAAATGACTGCTGAGCATTATACATAACATTAAGATCATAACTATAAAAGCAATGAGAAAATGTTGATTGTCTAGTTAGAAATATAATTTAGAAATTGGAGGGGAGTGGGAACTGGTGGAGTGGCATTTTGTGTTATGTGTTGTTGCAGGGGAGGGAGGGATTAATTAGAAATCGGACTTTATGCCCACACATTATACCATCAACTTACTGCAGTCCATTTTCTGTTGAAGCTGTCTGCATAATTCTTGATTGTCTTTTTCCATTTTGCTAAGCTTGTCTTGTAAGCAACAAGCTACTTCTTTACATTTTGTCAAATCTCGACACAAGCTATTTTTCTCTCCCTGTAAGCAGTCCAATAGTGAACACTTTTCACTGTAAAATGTAAACAAACCCAAGGTTATCATCAGAAACATCTGTTCAAATAAAATGTTTCAAGCTTATAAGGCAAAATATACAGTAAAACTTATTAGCCAAATTAAACATTAAAGCTTTTTAGGCACACTAAACAAGACGTCTGAGATACTTACGAGAGACAATTCTTCAGCTTGTTAATTTCTTCATGTGTACACTGTAAATTATTTAGTGCCTGAGATAAACGACGTTCTAATTCTTCTGTCTCTTTCATGTAGCAGGCTTTATCTTTCAGCATTTGATTTTCAGCATTTTTTAACTGAAATTTAAAAAATAATAATAGAAAATTCAACTTATTTTTTGAGCATTGTTTATGACAAAAAAAGTTTTTAAAAAAATAGCTAAGCTTCACTTATGTTTTTTTAGCTTGATAACCTGTAATGTAATTGATCAAATAAAATTTCATTGGCATTTGAGCAACTGAGACAAAAACAAAATCTACTTTAATTATCTCCCTGAAATAATTTATCTCTGACTAAATTCTAACCCAGGTTTTAGAACAGTTGCACTTTCAATCTCCTGAACACCGCTCACATAGCAGGCTCATCATATAATTAAATAAAATTATCCAAAAAAATTCAAGTTATGTTATAGGCCGTATTCACATTGGTTTATGCAAAAAAAAACACTATAACAATGTTAAAGGGGACAAACCAAATCATGAGTAAAACACCCTAACTTATTATATTTAGTTCAGAAGGGTTACTTAAGTTATCAAAAGTGACATTATTAACATTTGGTTAGAAATTAGAATTATCATTACGGAGTAATGAGTGGGCATGGTTAGGTAGTTGAGTGCACTGCTAACCTGAAAGTTTGGTACTTTTGATTGTAGTCAGACTGATGTCTACCTAACTCTGATCGGTACTGAACTCAGATTATGGAAAGTAAAGATAGATGCGGTCACAAAACCTTTATTTGCTCCAGTAACAACAGGTCCCAAAGGGTAGCTTCACTTACAGTGTAATAGCCTAAATGTAAAAACTGCACATACAATAATGACCACATTACAATTCCTTTCTTCCTTACCTTTTCAGTTAGACAACAAATATTATTATCAGCTGCTTTCAACTGATTGTAGGAATTAGCCAGTTTAACATTGGCATCTGCTAACGTTTGTTCAAGATTACAAACTTCTTCTGTGCGACACTTGAGATCTTCTGTTACTTTGCGAATTTCTTCTTTTAAATGTTTTATCTTTAAAATATATAAAGAAAATAACATTTACACTTAAAAGCATAAACATTTTTTAAAAATAAATCATTACACATGTTCATAAAAGTCAAAATACTCTCAAGAATTATAACGAATTGTGTAAAAAAGAATTGAAGTTTGTTAAAGAAAGTCTACTTACGCAACCATCTCTGTTGCTTAGTTCACATTCGAAATGATTTTTTATCTTGTCCATGGTCTCCAGGTGCATTTGAACTTCGTTCTTGCACATCATAAGAGCACATTCCAGATTTTTTATTTGTTCATTTGATTTACAAATCTTTTGTTGGTACGATTCGAGAAGTTTACAATGCAATTTATCTTTCTCCTCTATCGTCTAGATATAGCAAAAAAATTGTTGAGGTTAATTTTTTACACTGATTAATTGAGGCAACTAAATACCATCAAAATAAAAACATAATTTAAGTTAAAAACACACATACCACTTTGAGTTCATCAATTTGAAGATCTAAACAACGTATGTGATCTTCTTTAGCTCTAAGACAACGTTTACATTCCTCCGAGTTTTTAGTGAGATTGTTCAGTTTTTGGCGCATTGAATCATTATCAGAAGTTAGCTATAATGGAAAAAATAAATTCATTAAAACTGCATGAGACAAAAACCTATAACACAATTACAGAGAAGTAGGTGTAGATAAAATTCATTAAACTCTTTGCAAACTAGCAAGAAAAAAGAATCCTGAATTTGCGATTAGAAAAAAAATGTTTTTAAAAAAGGAGGCTGATGTTACTTGAATAATATTGAATAAAATTAAATGAGTTATCAAACAATTAGCCTGTTAAAGATATGTAGACACAAATGTAACTAGCAAGAAAGTTCTAAGTAATCATTGCCAGACATAAAGTTCTAGAGTTCATCTACCCAACTCTAGGAAATCTTCTGATATCAGAGACTAGATATTTCGCTGTCTATATAGTCAAAGTTTCTAAGCTAAATTTTAAAGCCTGCCGTTTTGTCATCTTAATTAAGTATCACTGATACAATACAATTAAAGTATATTTCTAGAAAACATGTACAATTCTGTTTTGAAAATATTCTAACTGATGACTAGGAAATTTCTTTTCACACCTTTCATATTATACTTCAGCATAGAAAAAGTTCAACCAATTACATACCTGATCTGTTTGCTTCTGATATTCATAAATTTGTTGACTAAGGCATTCGCTCTTTTTCTCACTTTTTTGTTGTAGACAACGCATATCTTTTTGTAACTTGACGATCTGATTCTGTATCAAATTGAAATTCGATAGGATTTAATAACCAGCTCTAATCTTTTTTAAAATAAACAAATAAAATATTATAACCTCTATGAACAGTACTATGTAATTTCATTTTTTTTCTTATTGTCTAGGAGACCAACCTGCAGGTCCTGGATGGAAGATTCCTTGCATTTAAGAATTTCCTCAAGTTCTTTGATCCTGTCTTCTGCTGCTTTGAGCTGTTCGAGGCTCTCATTGCTTCCAGAGCTTGCAAGTTTCAGTCTACGCTCACAACACTAAATAACAATGCATTCCTGGCTTGTATTTTAATGTTTTATCAAAATATTATGTTAATCTCATGTGCCAATATTGGCCAACATAAAATTAAATTAAACTATAATGGCTGTTTTTTTTCTTATTTATAGTAAAATACAGCAAAAGAAATATTATAAACATTTTTTAACAAAAAAAAAAAAAAACAAGCTAAGAAAGAACTTTAAAAATTTCTACTCATCCTTACATCTAAATCTTTTTCAAGAATACCGATTCTCTGAGCTTTCACGCTGTTGTCTTCTTGGAGACAGACAACTTGATGATTCCGTTCGTTGAGGCGAGTGTCCAAACATTGAATTTGTCGTTCTCGCTCTGCAATTGTATGAATAGCCTCATCCAGTTTTAAGTTTAAGTTTCTTTTGTCATCTTCTAAAGCGCAAACAGCGCACTCAAGTTCTTGATTGGCCCGTACACCTGAAATTTAAAGAAAATTGCTAATATTTATTTCAAAATTAAGTTCAATCTTTTATTTTTAAATTAAGAAAACAAAAGTTTCTTTCTAGAACTAAATACACAAGTAACCATTTTAAAAAGCTAAAAGAACTCCAATAGTTTACCTCCTTCAACTTTATCCATCAGAACTTTGAGTTCATCATGCAAATTCTGGTATGTTCTGTCATCTGCATCTCTTTGCTTCAAATCATATCGTAGACGCTGGATTTCACCATCCATGTTACTGAATAGATTTCTGCAAAATTTTTAGAGAACTTTAAATACAATTCCTTAAGTTCAATAATATATTAGAAATAATTGAAAACAATAAATGAATTTTTTTCCTAGTCTTGATAAAACAATGTAGTAAATGAATTTACTTACGAGAATTTTTTTACCTACCGTAACTCTCCCATCATTGTTGCTCCTCCTCCCTCACAACTAAGTCCATTATTATTTGAGTTCAGTTCTGCAAGGCCATTATTATTTTTATTCAATTCTGCATTTAAAGCATTTAGTGTGTCAGGCCACATCCTCATTTCATGTTTGGTCTGTAGACTAAAATTACCACTATCATCCTGAAAAATAAAACTTGTATTTTTTTTTTAAGTTTACACACATATATTTTATTTTTTTTAAACTTAAATATAAAATAAGTAAAAAGAAATGTATCTACAAAGTCAAGTAGTAATAATAAAATTACATTGACTACTTTTAATTGTTTGGATTTTTTTCAAGTTTATTTTTCAAGGTAAAAGCTGATTAAAATGCATTCCTCGTCTTTAATCAAGTCTTTTATTATGTATATTCCCTGGCTTCCCCTGCCTCTAAAAAAAAGTTTAACATACCAGAACATTTTTGTTTTGGTTATGATAGATCTGTACAAGTAAATCTGCAATTTCTTGGGCCATTTTGCGATGCTCCTTCATTTCAGTCTCTAAGAATAATTTCTCTTTCTTTATTTCTTTGGTTTCTTTCAATTCTTTTTCTAACTTATCTATATGCGGGGAAAAAAATCTTTGTTTTATTTAGAGAATATTTAGGATATAATGCTAAAAAATCCGTAGAATGCAATCATAAATAAATAAAAGATTAGATAGTACAAATAGTGGGATTACCAAGATCAGCAACCAATTGGTCCAACTGCTCTTGCAATCCATTTTTTTCATCTTCAACTTCCAACCTTCGAGTTGTTTCCATTTCCACATCATTAAGAAGTCGGCTTTAAAAATTAAGAAAATAATACTTACTTCATTTTTAAAACATTTTTTCATGGATTGAATAATTTTGGAAAAAAATACAAAAAACATATCACAATATAAATTGAGCATATTAATTCTGAAAATGATCTTAATCTCCAGTGACTTACCTATCCATAAACCACCCCATCTCCATATCTTGCCCCTCAAAATTTTATTTTTAAGCTGTGCTTATCCTGTTTGTATACTTACTTGATTTGTGCTTCCTGGGATGACACTGAAGCTTGAATCTCAGTGAGCTGTTCCACGACATCATCTCTTTCTTGAGAGGTTCTAGTCACGGCATCACGGAGCTCATCTTCAACCTTTTCCATCTGAAGTGATGGAAGGAAATTTTAGGAGAGAAATTTTAGGAGGGAAATTTGTATAGGTTGATAGTTTTTATATTGTATGTTTTACCCTTCCAGAGATTAAACACAAATGTTTTAACTAATAAGCTATGCCATCATATTAATATAGGCTTTCTGGTATCTTCAATATAGTTACTTCAACCAAAATGTATACTGAAATAAAAGCTTGATATTACCTTCTTAACCTTATCTTTTATCCTTCTCTGGTAATCTTCCAGCGAATCATGAGCCTCCATTAAATTTTGTAAAGCTTCATCTCTCTGTATTTCAATGCTGGTTAACAATAAAAATATACCTTAAAAAAACTAATTTAATTAAGTTATAATGAATAGTGTCATCTTTAATTAAGACTTGGCAGAATTCATGTGAAGTTTCCAAAAAATTTCCAATAAAACCTAATAATGTAGATTTATAATAATGTAGATTATTTCTAAATTCCAAGTACCTTTTAAAGGTAATTCTAATTCTATTTTACAGGCTGTAATAAGTATAGTAAATTTTGAAGTATTCTGGTTTTGCTAACTTCCTGACCCTAATCCTAATCACTCTATGATATTGTATTACCCTACTGGCAAAAAAGAAAAAAAAGTAAATAAATTTGGGATAATATTCTTTTTAATAGAAAATAATTGCTTTGACTAGTAGTATAAAATAGACTTAGATCTATTTCCCATCCTAAATCCATAAATCATAGCCATAAACTTTAACTTTATCTAACCCTACATTTAGTTAACCTTTAATAAGTTTTAATAAATAAGTTTCTTTTACCATTTAGAAGGAAATGTTTTGTTTCAGATCTGCTAATAGATCTAGATCTAGATCTAATAAGTAACTAGTAGACTTTGGCTTTAATAAAACAGTAGCAATGTATTCAAGTAAACACTGCAAACTAGACAATCCAATTTTCTGGCAAAGTTAAAATTATTGTATTATTTTAAGATTTTGGTTGTGTAATTGAAGATGACCAAGTAGAATTCAAGCTAGATCTAAATCTAGTATCTTATTTACATTTTTAAGATTGGTTGCTATGGAATATATCTAAAAAAAAAAACATGGACATTATAGTTTTACAAAACAAGTTACTGTGGCTAGATACTAAAAAAAAACCTACTGATTGCAATTAGTGATGGCTTTTAGAATCTACAGGTGTGAAGACAGAGGTTACAGTAACCAGATAAATCAAATAAATGCAGCTAGAGGCCACTTTGTTCAAGGGCAAATTTTCCATTATGGCTGGCCCAAGTAACAGTGTATTCAAAATGTGCTTTCAACATCAGTGTGGCACATAAAAATTGGGAATTCCCAAACCTTGACAGCAATCATGTGCATTATTTTATTACATTTTTGTGTTTAAAAAAACCCCTCATACTAACAATAGATATCTAGATCTAGTAGCATTGTTTTTAAGTGTAGGCCTATATACTCTAATCTTGTATAAGGCACTACAATTAGGATTGGTATTCTAGAATAACATTAGATTTTAAACTGTTGCATTGGATGAAAAACACACTTTGGAATTTTCATAAGAAATCCTACTTTGCTGTTTACAACATTTTGTGCAGTGGGTGGTTTGGAACTTAATGCCTGTGATATTTGAAGTATCACTGTTTATATATATTTGTGTGTATATGTGGTAGATATGATAAATATCTACAGAGAAAAACAAAATGAAAGAGTATCAAATTAAGTGAAAACCAACTACTGGCACTTACGCTCTTTTATTATGTGTAGTTTCTTTCAACTCCAAACGAAGATCAGCATTTTCAATTTCTAGCTGTTCAATCTTTTTTTGAAGTTCAACATTTCTTTTGGCTCCTTCTTCAATGTGACTTTCAGCATCTCTAAAAATAATATGCAGTAAATACTGAGTTAGCTAGTGGCTAAAAAGAAAAATAGATAGTGACATTAACATAAACTTTAATTTAGAAACCATAATAAAATTATAGAACACAGAAAGCAGAAACATGAAAACTATGACTTTAACATACCTTAGTGCTTTATCTTGAGCTCTATTTTCAGCTACCAGGCCTTCAATGCGATCTTCTAAATCCGGAACTTTCTTTGCAAGTTCAGAAGATTTTTGTAATGATGTTACCTTAAATAAAATTGGTAAGCAATTTAATTTCTCCAAAATTAACTATCAACTTCAACCTGTGTTTTCTTACCAAGCCCTTATTACAATACTATTTTGTAATTAATACAAAAGGCAAAATGACATAATACAACCCTTTAATCTTTTTCTTTTGTTGATTAAACGACCTCAGTTATCTTATATTTTTGTTTTGACTTAGTTAAAACCTAAGGATAAACTGACATAAAGTGGCATTAGTAATAATCAAAGAGTTCTGGTTCAGCTATTGAAGAATCTATATATATAATTCTCTTCTTCGAGCCGTTAGAAAACAAGCTGCAAACGCTCTCCCTACCTCCCCACCCCTACATGGTTTTAGTGAGCTGTGTTCACTCTAAATGTTTACAAGCAGAGCCAACGATTTTAAACGTAGGGGGGGGGGGGGAGGAGGAGGGGGGGAGGGAAGGAAGGGGGGGGGGGGGGTTATGGTCCTTAACGAGCTACTTATAGTGTTTTAAAGAAATATTTTCAGTGTCAGCGTTGGTACCGTCGAATTCACAAATTATGAATTATTGAAAATTAGAAACAACTAAATAGCGGCGTATGTTATGCCGCGGGCCGGCTCGTACTATATAAATAACATTTGCCTCATTTAGTTACCAATGAAGCATTTCTATACTCTGTATCAAATTTCATACATTCAGGACCCACCAGCATGTCAGTAAATGGAAACCACAGAAGAACAAATGTTTTATTTCATAACGTGCATTTTAAAGTTACAGAAAACAAACAAAAAAAGTAATGAGAATTACAGTTTTAAAAACAAAGAGTTAATACAAAAGAAAGAGCATCATACCTCCAACTTAGTTTTATGCAGTTCTCCAATTAATCGTTCCACTTCTCTCAACAACCGTTGATTCTGGTGGAACAGCTTTCTCTCATATTTGTTACAATTATTTGTTTCAGTTGAGTCAGTTGAGCATGTGCTATCTGAATCAAATCTCTCATCAGCTTGTGTATACGAGAAGGCCTAAAAGAAAATTAAAAATATATATAAAACAAAGGATTTTTTTTACTTTACCTTTCTATTTGAAACAAATTTAGGAAACAATTTGAGGGGTCTGTGGAAAAAGTACTTAAGTACAATTTTTTTTAAAATTCTGATAAATATTAGTTTGAATTTTTTTTTTTAAATTTAGTATTGTTTAACAGCTTTATTAAATTGAACCATTTGAGTACTTTTTTCCCATAACCCAAATTTACAGGGATGGTTGTAGTGACGCAAGCTTATACTAAGCAGGTCTTAACACATTTTTTTTTTTTAAATTGTGACAAGTACTTTTTCCACCGAACTCTTCAATTTTAAAACAATTTGCTTTAAAAAATTGCTTTGTAAGATTTTTATCAAATCTTGTAAACTTTAGCCAATATTACTCCAACCTTCTTCTTAAACTTAGTAAGGTTTATATATAAACTACACAATTTAGTTATTTTTCTACAAACAAAAATTATGTCATGTTCACATAATAACTTTTTAAAACTAATTCTTAAAGCAGCACTTGTTTGAAAAGCAACAACACATCAATTTTCTACAGTGTAAAAAAGATGTGAAATATGAAAAAAAAAATGACGTACTTGACTTTTGCTTGGAGTACTTCCACGCATGTTATTGTTGGCAAATATTGTGTAGGATTCTGGAGCTGATCTTACACTGCCAGTTCCTTCATAAGACCCTGGAGGTTTTGGCTGATGATTTGGTGGGTAGTTTAAAGAAAATGCCAGATCTGATCTGTAGGGAAAGATTTTTTAAAGTAGTTTTTTAAATTAGTGACAATTCTCTCAAAAACTGAATTGGAACATTTTAACAGCATTTTTTTTCTTTTAAACAAAAACAAAGATGTGTTTATAAGGTTAATTTTACAATTTTTAAATTTTTGCAACTGAAAATTTAGCACTTGAAACAAAATATGAAGAATAAACATCCAGAAAAAAGGTGAATAAGATCTTAACCCTACTGCTAGACCTTAACATGTTTTTATGTATGAAACAAAGTGCTGCTATCTACTCAAAGATAAAGGCAAGTGAAACTTCAAAAGCATGTTTTATCATTTCAAGTATAGATGTTCCTTGAACACAAACAACACATGCCAGAACGTTTTAACATAAAAATAAATGTTTTATTAAAACTTTTTTTTACTCTCTCAATATCGAAGATTTAAATAAATATAGTGTTTCTACCCAAAATTTAGACTACATGCAAAAAACAAGGTTGATTTCCTACCATTTGCATATAAAATTATATAAAGATACAATTTAAAAATGTTTTGTAATTTCAATAAAATGTAATATATTTTTATAATAAAAGCATTTTCCATATGGCATTACCTATCCCTTACCTACACTTGCACATATACCTATCCCTAAGCCTATACTTATATCTAGACCTATATCTAAATCTATGTCTTTACCTATAAATATCCCATCCCTTTCAAGACTGAGATGTCAATCTGATCCCTGCACTTAAACACAGTTCGAAAAAACTGTAGCTCTAACCAAACCCTAATCTTAAACATATCACCATTAAATTTAACATTAGCTAAATGCATACATTAATTTTTAACAGATTATAAATAGTCTATTTGGCCTGCTTCAACACTTAATCCAACACAAACTCCATTTATGCACATTCAGTAGAATAATTAACGAATATCATCAAATTGCATTCCTAATAATTTTTTAACTTGAACATCTTAGTGATTAATCAAATATTTTTTTAAAAATATTTTGAAATACAATATACACAAACCCAATCAATATATATTTAAATAAATATATAAGTGTGTGTGTGGGGGGGGAAGGAAGGTGATTGTTTGTGTGTGTGTGTTTGTTTGTTATTGAAAACCCTAAATTGATTGCATTTTTTTTAACATTTAATTTTTTTGAATTAATTTTTGCAGTTGCAGTTTTTACCAAAAATATTTCTTTACTTTCAGACTTAAGATGTACATGTGGCTTTACCCATTTCCTCTTCATGAAAATTAAACATTCTGACGTTGTTACCTCCCCTTCTATAAATTATAATATTTATATCAACTTTATTGATTTTCTACAGGACAGTAATTGTGTATCAAGATTTTTAATTCTGTATTGCTCTTAGGGCTATGGTCTTAGGAGCTGAAGAACATAGAGTTATGGTGGCTATTAAAACAGTTAAAAATCATGATGGCTCTATAATTATATGAGAAAAGCAAAGAAGCCAAAAAAATCTATCATGAAAAAAAAGCTTAAATTATAAAAAAGATACATTTAAATATTATATAACATCTACATATTTTAAATATCAAAACAAGATGTTTAATTTAATTTGTGAATATAAAATGTATTAAAAAATAGATATATATCATCAACCCAAATGTTTTAATATCATTTTATTTATCATTTTATTTATTTTATTAAGTTTATAGCTTCTTAAACTTATAGGTAAAATTATTGCCTTCTTACTTTTCTACTTTAAAATGGCACAGGACTTTAATTTACATTCAAATTAAAACAACGTACCGCTATGTGAAATTTTTGATCGAATGGCAAATCAAGATAGATTTTAAAAGTGTGGAATTTGCTTTCACTGTATATAATAATCTAGGGGTTTGAAACACACTTAATAACTGTAAAAACACCAACAACTTTGCTATGATGACACTATCCAAACTCTAACCTTATTAGAATTACTATTATGACTTAACTTAATCCAACTATGTCAGGCTAGTGATCATATAACATAAGTAAGTGTGGTAACACATAAAAAATGCAAATATATTTAATATTTATATTATTTTTGGGTTCTTATAAAAAATGCAGGCAGAATAATTTAGTATTGTATTTAGGATTTTTCCTTCTACTTATGATTAGGATTAGAACTATAACATGGGATAGTGGCAATGTTAAAATTGTGGTCAGAGCTAGGGCAAAAATTAAATTCGGGATACTGTGCTTCTAACAAAGAAAATAGCCAATGGTTTAATGAATACCATTACATAATAATGTCCAAAAAGCTTTTAGCCGCATTTTGTAGTTAATTGTATCAAGGTTATTTTATAGCAAGTATTGCTATCTTAACACTGACAGCTACCCAAACTTTGTACTGAACCTGATACAGGTGAAGAAAAAGATTGATATAATTTAAAATTTATATATATGGTTTTTCCAGTATTTTCAACAGACTTACGCTTAGCCTTAGCCATAGGCTTAGAAACAATATGGTAGCAAATTAAAAAATAATCTATATATATAATTCTCTTCTTGGAGACGTTAGAAAACAAGCTGTAAGCGCGCCTTGCAGTCCCCTCTCTTCCTCTCTAGGAAGTCTGGTGAGCTGTGGTTTACGCTAAATGTTTACAATCGTAGAGCCGGGTTTAGTGACGGCTATAAGGGGCAGATAATGTAGTTTGAAACGATTTTAAACTTAGGGGAGATAACGAAGAGGAGTTTGCTTTCAAGGGGGGGGGGGGTAGGGGTTGGGGGAAAGGAGGGGGGGTATCGTCCTTAACGACCATCTGATAGTGTTTTAAAGCAAATATTTTCAGTGGCAGCATTGGAACTGTCGAATTCACAAATTATGATTTACTGAAAAGTAGAAAATAAAACAACTAAATAGTGGCGTATGATACGCCGCGGGTCGGCTCGTTATTATAATTGAAGAAATAATAGAAGATAATAGAAGAAATGTTGGTATCAGAATGCATTCAAAGTTTAAGTAAATCTAGCTATTGCTACACTAGTAACTATTAATATTAGCAAAGATTCTTGTAGACTAGTAGTCTTATCTAATATTTAATATTCTAACTATTTCTTAACACAACACTAAAGCCGAACAAAACACTTAAGCCCTAACAAACATTTAACACTAATCCAACTATAACTAATCAGAGTTAAGCTAGAAAATAATATGATGTGATATCTCATGCGCAGGGGTGTAGCAACCTACTCCAGTGACAGGGCAAACTATCAATCATTTGTGTGGCCCACTCCCCCTAATTATATAAATAGTTATTCTCTTTTACCAGTCAACATTTTGGTGTCACATAACTGATGTGGAAAACAGTTAAATAAGCCCATAAAGCCAAGTATATTCTTAACTTCAACTGTATAATTCAATAATGCAGCTCAGAACAAGCTTGTTGATTTTTAATTTTCTACCCAGTTTGGTACCCCTGTATGGTTGACGTCCAGGGCATATTTCCCCCCCCCCCCCTCTCCCCTAACTATACCTCTGCTCATGCTGGTTTGCCCAGGATTTTAAAAACTATGTTTGAATACATTTTTAATTGATGTGCAAGGAAACCCCCCATACACTAGCAACTGGACCTGGTCATCAACTTTTTATGTTCAATTGCATGAGGTGTGCTGTGTTGTCACTTGTCAGTGTTGGATTTAAATATTTTTTTAGTTGAGTTTACTGTGGCTATATCATGCATGGAGTGTGTAGTGTACTCAACTCTTACTGTGTACACATTGACACTACAACTACACACTGACACTGTTAGCTTTGTCAGTGTTGTGTTATTTTATTCTACAAGAACCTAGATCTAAGTAGTTTACTATAGTGACATTATTCTAGTGTATTACCGTTGTGCAGAGGACAATTACTTTAGCTTTTAAAACAGGACCTCCAAGGCGTGATAAACTTACGTTTCATATAAAGTATCTTCTTCAAGCGTGTTAAGATTTCGAAGCGTTTGTTCAGTTTCCAAAAGCCTTCTTTTCATCTCCGCAAATTCAATAGAAGTCTCTTGAAAAGAACTTAGCTTTTGATTAGATAATGTATTTGAAGTGGTCCTAACCTTAGGTTTAGGACGTATAGATGGAATAATGAAAGACATTTTTTTCACTCGAACAGCGAACTACATAGAGTAGAAACCATCGTAATGATTTTTATATCATTCGGTTTGTATTGTTTACACTACCATGAAAGCAGTAACGGGACCAACTTCCGGTTCTATTTAACTAGTATGCGTTGTAAGCCAAAAATTTATGAAATATAAAATGCGCACGATTTTTTTTTTACACATGTTGGAACTCGATAGGACTTATCTTGTTTTTTGTCGTTTTGTGCATAGAACTGCTCAAAATTTCGCGTTTTGAATAAAAGATGTGAGCATATTCATCCAGAACATTTACTAAAATATTTTATAGCCATAGTGTAGACATTTTTTTATCCCTCTTCGTTTATTCCAATGATGTGATGCATTGTGTTCAAGAGATCTGATTGGTTCTAATTCACGACATTTGCAAAGTAAAACGTCATTAAAAGTGTTGGTGACGTCATAAAAGATTGGTTTCGAGATTATTTTGATCGCTCGATTTAATATTATGTTGGCCTAAGTTAATCTAGGTCCTGCTGCACTCTTTTGCACATGGTTATAAAAAGTAGTGTTAGAAACTAAATTTTAGCGGTTATTTCGCTTTTAAGAAAACTTTTTGTAAACCTGAAATATAAACTGATTAACATACTCTGTTGGCCTAGCTCGGTCTATATTTTACAAAGAAATCGATGTTTACAAAAATCGAACTGCAATTTATTGGGGGTATAGCAGTGGCGTAGCGAGGTCGGGTGTCACCCGGTGCGGCACTTAATGGTGTCACCCCCCCCAAAAGGCGTAGCGACCCTTTCCGGGGACAAACTTTCAAGTTTTCGATTTGCATCCCCCCTCTCAAGTTTTCGATTTGCACCCCCCTTATGTTTTCGATTTGCACCCCCCCCCCCCCTCAAGTTTTTCTCTATATATTTTGCTATTTTTTGCCTTGGTGTCACCCCCTTAATGGTGTCACCCGGTGCGGTCCGCCCCCCCGCCCCCCCCCCTAGCTACGCCCCAGGGGTATAGTCTGAGGTGTGACTTCATTTTAGAGGGGGCGAGGCAGAGGCGTAGCGACCCTTCCCGGCGCCCGGGGACAAACTTTCGATTTGCACCCACCTCCTCCCCCCCCCACCCTCCCCTCAAACTTTAGATTTGCACCCCCCCCCCCCTCAAACTTTAGATTTGTTTTTCCAACCCATTTTGGCGTCCCCTAAGGTCGGCGCCCGGGGACAGATGTCCCCCGCTACGCCTCTGTGGCGGGGTCTGCTTTTTATGACGGTGGGAGGGTGTGGGTAAAAATCTTTTTTAAAAACGTGACGTCATCTACGGATGACCCCTTATTTATACAGCTAGGATAAACTATAGCCATTTTATATCGCCTCATTGTTGTTCGAATCGGATAAGTCGTTTAGATGCAACATTCCGTTTTAAACCTTTTTGTGTGTGTGTGTGTAAATAAATTTAATCCAGCAGAAGATATATAAATGTCAATATCTGAGAAAGCAATTTCAATGTTTCTATTCAAATAATTCAGTATTTTGGTATCTACATTGATTCATTTAAATTTATAGCACACACACACACACACATATCACAAAATGCGTGTAATCATGACGTGGGCAGGGATGTTGGGTGGTATATTAGTGGAGGTATAACCCCCCCCCCCCCCATCAACACGACCCACAAAATGAAATGAAAGTGTCTTAAGTTACGTAGAAGAGATATTGATGATGGTGCGCTCTGTTGCTTTTTGTCTACTAATTCAAAATTCTGACTGTCATATTAACAAAATATTAACAGAACATTAAGCGCTCTGAAAATCGTTATGGAATATTGCATACAGATCTAGGCTTATATCCTATATAGCCATAGAAGTTTTTGTTGTCAAATTTGTTTTCCTTTTATTTATATAGTTATAGGCTCTTGTATGATTTTATTAAGACAAAAAAAAATTTGCTATATGAAATGAACGGCTACACGATTGTCAACATTCGTTTTACAATCTTTTTGTTTGTTAATCAAATGTGAAATTTTAAAGAAAGCGGTGGTTAATTTTACACATTTTAATTTTTTTACTGAGTTTATTAAACGTCCTTTTTATATTTTTAATAATATATTTCTTCTTTAAAAAAATGTATACAGCTAGGATAGGCTACAGTTGTTTCGTTTTAATTTTGTTCAGGCCTAAAGAAATATTTTCTAGATCCAGGCCTACTTGGATTGTGACTTCCTTTTCCGGTTAGGGTTCCCCAAGACCCAAGCTATCGAGGAGTCGAAGTGTTTAAAAACTTCGATTTTAATTTACAATGGTAAGAAAACACTTAAATAACGTTATTATTTACCTAAATTAATTATAATACTATTATTCTATATATTCTACAATACTATTGAAAATTAGATTATACAGATAAAAGTCGATTTTAATGTACGTGGTCGATGTAAGAATATATAAAGTGGCGTATTTTTCGTCACCCTACCTTCGCTTAGCCTACACCACAACCCAACATGCTAGATTCTTAAACTAGACTGATTTAGATCTATATACAGTTGTCAGGAAAACTAGATATAGAATCTAAATCTAGTGTGTTTGTCAAGTAGGTGCATAAAAATGGCATAATGATAATCTTTAATTAACTTTGAGCACTTTTCCTGATTGTTTTTGAAGAGTGATTTGTAGTTCAGATTAGACAGAATTTAGATCTAGATCTAGATAGATTCTAGATCTAGAATTGAATAATCCACTGGTAACATGACTACTTGTCAATATTCTAGTTACAGTTAGTGTTATTAAAGTCGGGTTTCTGCTAAATCGCACCAGTCCAACACACGCAGAACATTGGGTAGGCATTTCGACTTCCGCTGTTTCGATTCGGTACGACCACATCCTGACTTTTTCATCGTACTTGTTGAAATTCGCCATTTTTTAACATGTTAATTCTCGCCATCGGAATCGAAGAATAAAATGTATTCGATGTGAATATTTGAGTTGAATTTCATCTTTTATACATACTAATAAATGAATTAGCTCCCGTTTTACATTGTCCGATACCGAAAGCGATCACCGATAATAGCAAATATTTGTCGAAATGCCGACGCTACCGAACTGGCGCATTGACAACTAAATTTCAGATATAAATAATCCTTTAAGTTGCATGAAAATAGGCTTAAATAGCATGCCAACCATTTGGATAAATAGAAATGTCGATTTGAAGGGTTTTTAAGCATGGGCCAATGAGGAGTAGCGCGATAAAACTCGTAGGGGTAGGAACGAGAAAGCGTGCGTAATTTCATAATGGCGGCCGGGTTACGAGATATTAATAGATATGCGCATACGATGTTTTTTAACAGCTGTTTGTTTTTAAATGGACTGTTACAATAAAATGGGCTTTAAAATAAATATACTGTAGATCTAAATTATTAGATTAAAAATGGAAAGAATGTAATTAGGCCTAATTGCTGCCTAAATAAATTATAAAATTTTAAATTAGCCAGATTTTTATTAACCTTCTTAATACCAGGTTAACTAGATCTAGTAAACTAGCATTAACGAATTGCAGATAAATAGATTATAAAGGCATTTTCAAGTAGAAAAAATCTATATTTATTGTAAACAGTTTTTAAAAAAATAGAATCTAGATCTAGATCTAAATGGAAATGAAAACACTAAAACAATAATGGGTCTAGAGATGTGTAATAATATATATATATATATATATATATATATATATATATATATATATATATATATATATATATATATATATATATATATATATATATATATATATATATATATATATATATATATATATATATAAAAACTATTAGGCCTTAATGTAAATACTGACAGGCCTATCTGTAGTATCTAGATCTATAAAGTACTATAAAGGGCCTAAATTAAAAATAATAATGCCCAATTTTATAAGCTGCACTGCATTACAGTTTTAGTTATAGGCAACTATAATAGAAAGAAAACATGAACACTTTAATTAATGTCATTTAAGAATTTATCAAAGGATACGTCAACTTCACTAAACATTTTATAAATAAGAATACTGTGAAATGTCAATCTTTGAGTTTTAGCACACCTCAACACTTTTCATCAGAAACATTACAAGAACCAAAATTTTCTAAATTAATAATAACATTTTTACCATGTTATACACGGACACAAATCCAATGTTTATGGCAAATCGTTAAGTATCTTGATCATATTGTGCTGTATTTGACTTGTAAGTTCTAACTCTATACATTACCTGTACAATATGTATACTAGCACTCTTATTACTAACACCAGAATCAATATGTAAAGTTTAATCTTTATTTTTATAGTAGCAACAAAGAAGTGCAACATATTAGCCTGTAGTTAATCATCATAGTCTAATTGCGCTGTACCATATTCAAGTTCACTATTTATAGTTTTCCTCTAGCTATGTTTATTTTACTTGCATGATTGTATTTTTTACATGCTCTAGTCCTAATATATAAAGTTTCATGATGGTATATGGAATAGCAACCTAGCTGTGCAGTCTGGAAATCCTCTTATGGCAGTCACTATAGAACAGTGCCACACCCCTTAATTTAACTTCATTATTTCTAGTTATCTCTTTTCTAATTTTTATTTTATTTGTAGACTTCTATTGCCTATATCATTGAGTACAAATGTGCAAAGTTTTATCATTATATCTTTAATAGCAACATTGGTATGCAAGTTTAAAGCCAATCACACGTCTGGAATGCAGGTTACAATGAAACATAACAAGTTAAACACATAACTTTGAAAATTCATATAAAAAAAACTATTAGGCCTAGAATGATAAATTTGATATTTTTATCAATGGGGTATATTATAGGATTGATCTGGGTCCATTTTATCATTCTATGATAATTAGGAAAAATTTCCCAATAGGCCTAACATTGGGAAAGCATGTTTTTGGATGATTGCAGTTTTACAACTTGTTGTTACAGAAGTCAAAGATTGAGCAGGAGATTTACTAACAGACGCTGCCATTTTTTGAGAATACACACTTAATTTTTTTTAACCTAATCAATTTACGTTTTCTGATTGTCACATTTTTTTTCATTTTAGGGGTTTGTCAAGGTGATTAAGAACAAGGCCTACTTTAAAAGGTTTCAGGTCAAATTCAAAAGGAGGAGAGGTAATTTATTGGTAATTTTTATATTACTATTATAATAGTGTTTATAAATGGATGTAGATCTATAAAAGTTTTGTGTTTTGTAATTTAAAACAGAGGGAGTTACTGACTACTATGCCAGAAAACGCCTTATTTTCCAAGATAAGAACAAGTACAACACTCCAAAGTATCGTATGATTGTCCGTTTTACCAACAAGGATATCATATGCCAGGTGAATTATATTTTTCTACGTTTTTTTTTTTTTGGTTGATGTTACAGTTATTAGATTTTACAGAATGCAGAAATTAATATACCCTTCCAGTGTGTTCTTGAGCTTTTAATGGAGGAATAACTATTCTGTTGTATTTTTAGTAAAATGGTTATTTCATTTGTCATTGCAAAGGCCAGGTTAAAATATTGGAATAAAAAATGTGTAGAGCTACATTGAATAAAGGCCAATGCTAGCCGGAATAAGATACGAATGCGCAATGGAGAGAAACGACGACTTGCCATCGCGGCGATGTTTTCGATGGTACTGCGCATGCGTGTTTACAACCGCAGAACCCTAGCCATAGGTCACTGCGCATGCGCAGAGATATCTTTTGCGACTAAGTGGAGACGTTGGGGATAAAAATCTTCCGGGTAGTCACTACGTTGAATAAATCATGTGTAGTGCTACACTTGTAGCTTTATTCATTTATAATTGCAACAGGACAGTTATATTTACATTCTAGGGGTTTTTTCTTCTTCAGTTTAATCAATTGGGAAGAACTCTTTGTAAATGTTCATTTCTAATATTTACAGATAGCCTATGCTCGTATCGAAGGTGATGTGATTGTATGTGCTGTGTATTCTCACGAATTACCTAGATACGGTGTGAAGGTCGGGTTAACCAACTATGCCGCTGCTTATTGCACAGGTCTTCTACTAGCCAGGAGAGTAAGTATGAGCTTATTTTGTATCTAGTTACTTTTCCTATATTTTCCCTTTCAAAATATTAGTGTTTCTCCATCACTTTTCTTCTACATTATTGTTTTATTTTACTCAGTTGTTGAAGAAGTTCAACTTGGACCAAACTTATGAGGGACAAGTGGAGGCAAATGGAGAAGAGTTCAATGTCGAAGATGTTGATGGGGCTCCAGGTGCATTCCGTGCCTATCTAGATGTTGGATTGGTGCGCACAACAACTGGTGCAAGAGTTTTTGGAGCTTTGAAGGGGGCTGCTGATGGTGGAATTGATATCCCACACAGGTATATTTCCATTTCAATTTTATTCTTAGATGTTCAACTTGCACAAGGAATGGTTTTCAAATAATCTTCAATATTCTATGCAGCACACGCCGTTTCCCTGGTTATGACAAAGAATCCAAGGCTTACAATGCTCAGACCCACCGTGATCATATTTTTGGAAAGCATGTGTCCAACTACATGGCATATCTTCAGGAAAATGATGAGGAAGCTTACAAGAGACAGTTCTCTCAGTTCATCAAGAATGGAATTACAGGAACTAAGGTTTGTTTGTGCTGATAATTTAAAGTAACTAATATGCTAAAACGTAACATAAAACTTGAGTGAATGCATTATTTTTAACATTGATTTATCTAGGTTGAGGAAATGTACAAGAAAGCACATGCAGCCATTAGAGCTGACCCTGAATCTAAGCCAGCCGCCAAAAAGGAAGTTCAGAAGAAGAGGTATGAATGAGCCTATTCTCAATTTTTTTTTTTTTTTTAATATTGCCTTTAAGGTATTTCTAGTTGCTAAAAACTTATTTTAATGCTTATTTCAGGTGGAACCGTGTGAAGTTATCCAATGCCCAGCGCAAGGCACGTGTTGCACAAAAAAAAGAAGCTTTCCTAAAGACATTGACAGCAGAAGCTGCTGAATAAATCTGACAATATTAACTACGAAATAAACTTGATTCTTTCTGCTTATTGTTTCGTTTGTGTAATTTGATTTTTTAGACTGGAGTTTTCAGTCTGATGTATATCAGAAATACTAGTATCATCTGTGCATGTAATGACAGAAAGACTAGTTGCTGTGCCTGATACTACATTGGTACCTACGCCAGATGAGGATTTAAAACAAAAATTTAAGGCTGGCAATTGGTTAACCCCTGATCAAAGATTTCCTCAATTCTTATATAATTTGCCGTTTGTTTAAAGAGAAGTCATTAACTCCCCCTTGCTAGTGGCTCGACTGTCCTGGATTATGTAGTTGCCATTTTGTTGTATCAGGTGTTGGGAATAGTGGTTGATCAATTCTGCAGTTTTCTGATAAGGTAGTCTGCTACAGGTCTCAAAGTATGTTTTCGAGTTTTTTTTCTCTATGGGCAGTAATATTAAGGTGGAAAAGAAAAGATGACACATTTTAAAATCCCTAGTAGATAATAATAAAGCTCACCTTTCAGACCTAAACTAATTTGGGCACAGTAATAGGTTATTATGGTCAACAGTTAATATCCAGTAAATAGAGAAAATCGAGAACAAAAAATAAAATTGGTACTTCACAAAAAGAAATCAGAATAATTTTCTGATGTTGGTACTCTCTGCAGGTGTCATATCCCCCAACATGAGCAGTTTCCCCCTTTGTGTTCAAATAATACATGTATGTATTGTAATGCACTATAATTTATAATTGTAAATTCTTAAATTTAAATGGTTTCTTAGCACAATTACATGTATTTCAGAAATTCTTTCACTTACAAATACTATAGTAATTTGTTTTTCGCCATATTGACAATATTATTACAGATACTCTTTGAGCAAAAAAATCTTTGACACATGCTTCATCTTGTGTATTTTATTATTTCTAAATGCATACTTTACAAATGTACATAAAATTCAAAGTATGAATCTGTTTGATGCATAAATTAGTCTTACAACAATGCCATTACATAAAATAGTAAATCACTAAATAATAATTTCTAAATGCCCTTGTACACTACTACCATTTAAATTAAGATATTCTATTCCAGAAGACAAATTGATGGTAAATTGCTTCCATTCAAGTTAAAAGACAGAACAACCAACTTATTGGGGGGGGGGGGAAGGACATGTGATAATTTTTTCCGGTTTTTATATTTATAAAGACTTGTTTGATACATTGAAAAGGATATCAACATAGTGAGACTGGTCCATTGGCCAGATATGTTTGTGCCAGCACCATTATATATATATCTAAGTCTGATGTTGTGTGGACAGTACATGTTCAGTCATCCACAACTTGCACCATCTGAGGATTTTCTGCTACAAACAAGACCCATTATGATTTATTAACCTGTCAAAAACTAAAAATAAGAACTTGATTACATTACAGCAGTGGGTATATAATTAATGAATCAAGCTTATATAAGTTTACCTGAATAACAAATTACAACTGTTTACTGCAATCATCTTGGACAATTGCAAAAATATTTTTAAAATATACACTTGGGTAATTGTTGACATATATATTCAGCTAAACAAAACATTGCACAGCCAAGAAAGTCTCTTTGAAAACTAGATTCTGAATGCTAGATATCAAAGATTCTGCAAACAAATGTATATTGGATTCAACCAATACACTACACAGCCAAGTGAGACTAAAAACCAGGTTATAATACAGTATGTTTCTGTTTACACACTTCTTTCATTTACTGAACTGGATTATTATACACTAAATCAGAAAGAAAAATCTACTACAAAAACATCATATAGAGTCAGGGCTACTGTCATTAGGATTTTTAGGGTTGGAGTCTGCATCATTGGTCTTTTCCTCATTGATCTGTGTAGCTTGATTTGATTTTTCTTCTTGACTTTCCCTAAGAGCCTCCCGGATCTGTGCTCTCAGGTTGTCATGGCGTTGCTCCCATCTATCTAGGTAATTATTCAGCTCATCTATTGTGTTGCTCAAGGATGAATATTCTGAAAAGAAAAAACAGGAAAAAAAAGACTATACACCTCAGTTACGAAGTAAATGAAAAGGTCAGCAGATTTTAAAATAGTATGACTTGTAGTTATTTTTCTGCACTGAAGTTCAATGGTTATTTGGATTTCATTGGAAACCGGCCATTTTCTTTTGTATTAGACCTAAATGATGAGCTATATTCAGCAGTACTAATGTATTATGCTTAAAAAAAAATAAGTGTTCTCTTTTTCTCAAATTCAAATTATCATATGTTTAACATTGCTAAGTATATTTTACTATCATAAAATCAATACCATCTACATAACAAGAAATTTTTCTTTAATTGGGGGTACTTCGAACAGTCCTTGAGCCAAATTTCTGTACAGCATATATCTAGAGGAGATCTATATTTATTTAGTAGCTTTCTAATGTCTATAATATTATAGTTATAAATTTGATATCAATAAGAAATGAATTTTTAAGTAAAATATCTGTTAGATACTTTTATCATCGTAAAACATTTTAAAGTGGCTATTCACAGTCAATGATAGGCCTCATAGTAATAACAATAGCCTACTGAGGCCAAATGTGTCTATTCCTAGTCCGATTGAGGCATCATGTATGTGACCTAATAACTCTGAAAATGTAGGGTCAGTTTCAGCTAAAATTCAATCCTACTACTACTGAATATAAATAAATAGTAAATATGATCCAGTAGCCTCAACAGTTTGCCTCTAGTAGATTTTTTTAATTAGGCCTACAAAAAATCATTTCTTTTCTCCTTTTTAGAGTATAGTTATAAAAAAAAGCTCGTTATTAAAGCATTTTTATAGTACTACAGGAAATTCTAATTAATTCTTTAAAAATTAATTAGGCCTAACTAAGCATCCAATTAGCCAATTAGGCCTCAGTTGGGGAATTTTATGCCAGTGTCCGATAATAGAATCTTCGGTAATCTATCGTTTTAGGTACGTAAAATCGCCCGCGACTAGTAATGTGAAAAACAGGTGACTCTTTACATTTTAATAATTATTTCACATTTTGAGGAGGATTTATGTTTTGAAAAATACAAAAATGTTTCCTTGTTTCATTTATGTACCTGTTTTTAAACAATTGAATTAAAACTTTTCAGTAATAAATGAACACCAGCGATGTTTCCAACAGATGCAACCACGCTCATTTACTATAGCAGTCATCTTGTTAAAGTTTTATTTTTATAGACATTTTATAGAGATTCAGGCGGAAGTCACTCTATTTTACAAATGGCTGCTGTTTATATTAGGTACTCCAAATGGATTTTTCAAATCAGTCACACAATAATGGCAATGGTTTTTCTGCATAGTACTAATAATTCTAAGAACATGGATACCAACTTTATGTCTGTAGGACAATTAGAAAAAAAGTTATGCGCTTAAGAAACACGCGTTTTTTTTTACCTTTTACGGCCTCATGAGGACCCGACTTTAGCACCGATTATCTCAAAAACTATAGCAGCTATACCCATTCTCTAACTTAATTCCAATAAAAGAGTAGATAGATTGTAGTCTCAATTTTTTTCAAACTAGTATAACAAGTTAAAGATGAACGTTTTTTGTCTTAAAAATCGTACTACACCATATTTACCAAAAATTTGACAGGGCGAAAAAAAAACTAAAAAATCACCAACTTTCACAAAACCACTAAAATTCTTCTATTGCATGCACAATAATCACCTTTATATCGATTTAAAGGGGAAAATGTTACCTAATTATGTAAATTAAATTGAGTGCTATAAATCATGCAGTTAAATGTCCAGATTTGAGAAAATAAGGTGGGGGTGAACATTTTATACCTCAACACGGCTTTAAGTCAGTTTTTTTAATTGACAAAGAATTACTAAAACTTAACAGATAAATAGAAAAAGTTATTTATTTGTAACTACAGTTAATCTACATTTAAAAAGAAACATTCTCAGTGAAATAATTTAGTGTTAGATCGCTGAAAAACGTTAATAAAAATGCACGATTTCAGGATTAAAATCGGGCCGAGATTAAAAATAGACAACCTATTTTAGACCTATTTTTAGCAAATTACGACCCGTAAATGAAGAAAAAAGAAACACAGTGTGATAAAGTATACCCATAACTGTAAAGACTAATCGAATTATATATTATGCAGATAGTTTGGACATTTTAAATCGGATAATCAGTTCTTATTAGCGTTTTTATCGCAATTTTCTGTGGTTTTCTCTCGAAACGTTGCCGGTCGAAAAACTAGGTCAGCGTGACCTTTTACTAAATATATTCAAATTTTACAGATAAAGTTTAGTTTTAAATTATAAATACTTAAATATTTTCATATTTTATTGTATTCTTTTTAATATTGAACTGTTTTTATTGTGATATAATGCGTAAGAAAAAATAGATTTCTATTCAAACACGTCAGGGGTCTGATCCGGGCCGGGCTTATATTTTCTTTGTAAAAAATTTCGTGATCGCATCGGCGAACGGGAGTTACACATGGTTTCGTTATCGCGCTTTGACATTCGCGCCATCTTTGATATTGTAAAGATAGTTTCGCATTTAAATAGAAAAATGGACGATCTTTCTAACCATGCTAGTAGAAAATTTGTATTTTTAGTGGATTTTGGTGAAAATTCAATTTTTCGTAGAAAATTTGAGAATTAAACCGTTTTTACTAAAATAATTTGTTAACATTTTATACAAGACTAAAGGTCATTCAATCCTGCGTACGATAAGCTATGTTTAGAATTCATAGGTCACGTGGCGCCGAAGCGCAAAGCCTCAGAATGCGATAGGGGTAAAAACGGGTCTCTCATTTTGCCGATAAAAATCGTTGCGGTGATGTTTTTCAAGCTACAAAAACATGTATTCTTCCTTTACCAATATAAAAACAAACAACACATTATTGTAGAGCTTAAGTTAAGCTTTCTAACCATACCATTTTTATTAGTATACGCTTAATTTTTATGGGAGAACTTTGTGATGGAAAGTAGGGAAAAAGTAAAGAAAATGAGCAGAAACCTCGATTTTCTGCAGTTTGGAGTACCTATTTATATAGCAAATCTTGCTTGCAGACACAGCTGTTTAAAGTTAATTTCTGGCCTATATTGATATATTTAGCCATTGATTTAGGTTTATTATTCATTTATCTATAATATTTGACACAAACATATCACAATATACTTCTATTACAGCCTTGACAATGAGGTAACGTTTTCGTACATTAATAGCCGGGGGCGATTTTACGTACCCAAAACGATAGATTACCGAATCTTCTTTTAAAAAATAAATCAATGTTTTTTTATTTATTTTTTTTAAATCTAGTTTCAAGTTTGTCTAAGATTAAGAAAGTACCTCCAGCAATATCTTCAAGATCATTTAATTCTTCAGGTTCAGTTGCTAATAAAGATGAAGCTAATAAAGCAGTTAATGATTCATCTAAATCTCCATTCTGCTTATTTATTCCATTTACCGGTTTTCTGTTATTATTTTGTTGTGTATCATCGTTGTCCGCCATCTTGATTATCATGTGATTAAAATAAACTAACAAACGGAAGCAGACCGATCATATTTTTATAAAATACCAACTCTAAGACAAAAGAGCTGTTTTACACAAATCACTTAGGTAGCTTTTTGTTGGGATGGGGAGGGTTAATCCAACAAATTACGATGATGGCGCATATTTTTTTAATGATAGTCTTTTAATAAAGTTGAGTGCTAAATAAAGTAGCAACTTTTAATAGTTACATAGTTAAGAACAAAATTGATTGAAAACATGTGTTTGTGTTAGTTTACATTGGATTGATATAAAAGGGGTTATCCATTTAAGGGTCATCCATTTATACACTGAGGGGGTAGACAGGGATTCCAAAATAATCGACTTTTGTTGACGGGGGGGGGGGGGGAGATCCGGTCCACGCTGACGTCTACGTGTTGCACTTCATTTCAAAATACATTTTAGAACAAAGAAAAACTCGAAACATTCGTAAAAATGTAATTTAATGTATATGTCTATATTAAATCAACAAAGCTCGTGTTTTTAGCGCAATTTCCATACTGGGATTGCGATTATTAACTCGTCATTTCTGGATGGATGTGTGTCCGCAGCCTATAACTTTAAGTCGTATCTCCTCCTCAACGAAGCAATATCGAGGACTAGTTCCAAAAGCAAATATGTTAAGCAAGTTCCGAGGATGAACATAGGCCAAAAAATTCCCGGAATTTCTTCCTGGATATCCCGGAAAAGCCAAAAAACCTTGAAAAAAATGCAGTTTTTGCTCCATATCTCGGCAACCAGATCACTTAGCGACTTAAAACATTTACCAATCGATTCCTGCCATAATTTAAAACAATATTGCCGAAGAAAGTTTTCAAAAATATCATTTCGTTCGGTCACAAAAAATTAATTAAGAACATTTAAACTGAGCATCGTGTAGGCCTAGGATGATTTAAACTGAGCATCGTGTAGGAGTTTATATTTATAGGATGATATTTACAAAAAAAAATTAAAATTTTATGGATAACATAAGGAAATTGCGCTTAAATTGTCACTAGACTTTTTATTAACTTGTTTTTAAATCAACTCGAAGAGTAAATAAATTTATATTGGGGTCATCCATAAACGACCATAAACGAGTTTCTTCCAGCCCCCCCCCCCCCCCGAACGAAATGAAATGTATATAATTTATATAGAAAATATATACCATTAACAGTTTCCGCTCACCCCCCCCCCCCGAAGAAAGTCTACCCCCCCCCCCCCCCGAAAATTTCAAGTGCCCCCCCCCCCCCTCGGAGAAAAAAGTCTGGAAGAAACACTGTAAACGACGACACGCTTATTTTTTAATGTACGAAAAGCATATCCCTTAAAATAACGCCACGCCCCTCAAAAAGGCCTATTGAATATTTTTAGAATTAGAATATTAAATAAACCGGGAGTGATCTCCCCTAAACTTTCTCGAATATTCTAATATAACACTACAGGGGATGGCAACTCGGGATATTGACTTCTAGACATGATTTTTAATCCATTTGAAATACTCACATTTCTTAAAATAGAATATAATCTCGTAGAAAAAAGAAATGCACACCAAGTGAACGCTAAATAAAAAAGCGCATAATAGTGCGCAATATTATTAGTACTTTATAAATTTACATGCGTTTTTTGAGAAATCGGAAATAGCGTAAATAAGTACTTCCGGTCAACGGAAATTACTCAAAATTTGACAGAAGGTAGAGAATTAGCTCTTTTACTTACATATCAAATTTCATTTATCTATCTGAAATAGTACTCAAGTTATAGGCTTTTGAAAAATTCAAAGTAGAAAAAGTACCACTTCCGGTTATCGGAATTCGCTCAAAAGTTGATACGGATCTACGATTTTGATAAAATACTTATATATGAAATTTCACCAGCCTAGCTGTAACGGTACTCAAGTTATCGTGTTTACACACGGACACACAGACACACACACACACAGAGATACGGACAAGATTGCAAAATTATGTTTTTCCGTATCAGTGAGGTGTAAAACGTCGAGATTTGTAAAAATCTCGATTTTTTTTTTGCACGATTACAATACTTTCTCTATACTACGTATATACGAGAAAGTAAAAAGGCATGGTTAAACTCTAAAAATCGTATCGGCAAAGTTTTTAGTACAAATTTCGATGAGGTTTTTTTTTATTAAGTGGGGTTTTCAGAATATCCAATATCGATCACGGAGTTCCTGTAGGGTCAATTAATGTTTGCGAAACAGCAGGTTATAACTTAGGCTTGATGAAAATAAATAGAAATGTAATCTTGCAGCAACAAAAAATTAAGTTATCTGGATTGGCAACTTTTTTAACATTGATTCCAAAAAATATTATATTTCTCAATTATTTTCAGGTTTAAGTTTTATTTTTTCTTATTTTTACTGTCGCTTTGATTGCAAAATCTATAATTTAAAAAAACTTGTTTTTTTTTTATCCACGTCAACAATAATGATGGAAACATTCCCGTCAACTCAGTCATGTCCATTACATTTTAAGAAACGGCGGTATCTTTCTAAAATATTTACTGAGCTAATTTAAGTAGGCCTTTCATTTTTCAATTAAATGGCATTGAACATAATAACTTCAGAGACTATCATTGACGACTGCCTGCGTTGCATATGAAACATCGATTGGACTATGGGGGGAAAAAAATGGGCAAAACCCTATTGAAAAATAAATACAAAGGCGCAAATGGGTATGAATAGGGCGCACTTTGCCTAAACCATTACAAGACAAGCATAATTAGATTAAAATACTCAAATAAAGAGAAAAGTAGGTAGGCCAAAATGAACTTGGAAAAGACAAGTCGTCAGTGAAACGAAGTCGGAATTTTAATGTCATGGACCCAACTTGGAGGAACCGCCGAAAACCGAGTACAATGGAGAGGTAAGGGTGCTTCACTATTTCCTACAGGTTACCCACAGGAATGATGATGTGTACTATTCCCAGTTAGTGAAGGAAAACAAAAAGAATCAAACCCGGGTGAAATAGTTTGATTGCTCACTTTATTTACTTAAAAGTTTGGGGATCCTTGTGATCTCAATGGCATATGGAGGGTTGTGACGTGACTGACTTGTTAAGGTGACATCATGGGGAGGTTTTTAAAAAAGTGAAATCATAATTATTATTATAACACCATACTGAGATTTTAAAATTAAAACTAAGGGGTCGTCCATAAATGACGTCGCTCTCGTAGGGGGGGGGGGGAGGGGGGGTCCGTGATTTTGTGACGGTGTGTGATGAGGGGGAAGGGGGGAGGCTCAGATGGTGGGACGTCACACTTTTGCATTATAAAAAAGCAATGTTAGAAAACGAATTTTAGCCGTTATTTCGCGTTTTAGAAAACTGTTTCAATAAATTGTAATAGGAATTGGTTAAAATACTCTATGTTGAGAGAGTTCAGACACGATTTTGGAAAAATATCGATGTTTTAAGAAAAATTCAACTGCAATTTTGAGGGTGGTTGTATGCTGAGGTGTGACGTCATTTTAGGAGGGGGGGGGGGGTTGGCTTTTTGTGATGATGTGTGACGGAGGGGAGGGATAGGTAAAAATCGTAAAAAAAGCGTGACGTCATTTATGGATGACCCCAAAGTTATACTTAGAAAGTATGTTGAAAGAATAGTTGTAGGACTATTTCTTTCCAACCTCAACCACGTCTTGATATTATTAACCGGCCCGTAATCTGAAAGACCTAGATCTACATCCGACAAATAGTTCAGGCTACTGAATTATATCGGCTCCTGTTTAGCAGTATGGATATGCGTGTTGCAGGCTAAAATCTCTCCATGTAAACAAACACAACCTCAACTCTATTGTCCAATGGAGCTACCTATTTAAAAGCGAAAAGTCAAGGCTGGGACATAGCTGAAAATACAACAGGAAACAACAATTTAAGTATCAACTTTTATTTCAGCTATAAACTGCCACGACAGAGCTGAATGAGAACAAATTAAAAACCCACGGCAATTCAATAGTCACATTATTGAGAATAGTGTTGCAGTGTTTCTTCCAAAAAAAAAAAAAGGGGTGGGCTAAATTTTCCGGGGAGAGGGCGGACACGAGTTAAAGTATATAATTTCTATATAAATTATATTTCGTTCGGGGTACTAGAATTGCTTATAGGGGGTAGAACCCCCCCCCCCCCCCATCATAAAAGAGATGCCTGAAAGTAGAAACGTAGTGTTGGATGAGCTGGCCTATACAATTGAGTCTATACTATACAGTCTAGTATTAATAATAATAAATATAAGAAAATAAAGCCTCCAGTATTGAAGTCCTTGGATTTAAGGACATAGTTTCTTCAAGGCATCTCTTCGGGGGGGGGGGGGGGCAGAGCCTTCCTGAAAAAAGTCTACCCCCCCCCCGAACGAAATGGAATTTATATAGAAAATATATACTTTTAACACTGTCCGCCCCCCCCCCCCCTGAAATTTTAGTCACTGTCCCCGTCTCCCGTCCCCCCCCCCCCGAAAATTTCAGGTGCACCCCCGGAGAAAAAAGTCTGGAAGAAACACTGATTAAGGATTCAAAATAAATGCACCATGGTACTCTTGCTCTTGTGATTGCTATTTGAATTCTTTTGCTGACAATATATTACGAATATATAGGTTATATTAAAATTGTGTATACTCCCGTCTTGATAAAACATAGCTCTACATAAATGTAAGCTGGCTATCTAAAATCACGCGCTTTGCTTAGATTACCATGATAGTTAGAAGTCAAATTTCGTAACTCAACTTTGACCTATTTGTACTGGGGCAAATTGTTTCAAAGTTCGCATAAAGCTACAATGAGAATACTTTAGAATCTACATTTAAATCTCATTACATATTGAACTGGTCGTTAAAATGTTTCAAAAGTTTCAAGTCGTTCGCCCCCCCCCCCCGTAGTTAAAAATGTCTGAAAGAAACATTCAACATAGTGTTATCACCACCCTCCGCAAATTTCTATATTTCTGATGTAGGCCTACTAAAATTATAAAATGATGTATATAAGGCGTTTATGTGACAATATATATTTCGATTGTGGTACATTATTATAATCTATATGCCTTACATTTAAAGATAACTATTTTATTTTATTTTTCTATGGATAGGGTCTGTATAAAAGCGTATTTTTATAAGTTTTATCCACCCCCTAAATTGCATTAAAATCTCAGACTACTAAATTTTCAATAATTGTAAACTTAGTCTACAAATAGTAAACTTTGGCAATAGACCCATCACTTTTTTCTATCACACTTCCTGGCAGCGATTGAGCGAATACAGATCTGTTCGATTACACATTAGGCCAACCCTCTTCGGGTTAAAACTATCGGTTATAATATCGTCTACTATTATATTGCCTAGTAGAACTATATAAGGAATAGTGATTTCTAAATTTTTAATTATAACCAAGAGTAGCATTTTTATCAAAAAGTATATTTGTCACCCACTCAATAAAGAAATTAGCCAACATTAAAACACTGTTTTAACTAATCCCGAAATAACCACTTTGAAGATTTTAAAAGAAATTAACATTTTTGTTTGCACTGGGGGTAGTACATATGAAATACCGTTAGTCTCTAGTATTCTCTAGATGCTACTTCATAGTATAGTATTGCAGGAATAATTTATAAAATACTCCACTTTTTTAGGCCTAGCCCTATGTGTCTAGACTTGCAGTATCGTTTTATTAATTTTTCTACGAATACGTTCAAGCGAACCACGCCGATTTTCACGTGACATCACATCCGTTCTACTTAAGAAGACGCTTTCATTCCCGAGGTGGATCATTTAGGTATGGTATGAAATTGAATTATCTTTATCGAAACAAAAAGTGTTCCATCTTAAAATTACCGGCAACAAGTTCGGAATAAACTTCTTATTAGGATTCAGGCTTGTATTATGCTCGATGGGCTAAGACCGCTTAAGATTTTATGGATTCTGGTTCTCGCACTAATATACGTTGTACCGGCATTTAGATCTAGTCTAGTATCCATTTTTACTTAAAAGAATTTTTATACCGAAGCTAACTTTTCAAACCATGGCAATTTCCAAGCTATTCAATGTTCAAACCAAGCTTATCAGTAGCCCCACTTTTTACAATGATTTAGACATGTTTATTGGTAAGTTTGCAAGTCTAACAAATTTGAACTCATACTTTTGCTTGAGCATACCTTGCTTTGTTTCCGCCATCTTTAAAATTTGTAAAAATATGAAGAAAAATCTTAAGGTAGAGATCTTTAGTCGTTTCTGTAACGTTTAATTCTAAATGCTTATGTTTCAGATTTAAAATGGCTGAAGATAGTGTAATCCTTGATTATGATGATGAAGAAAATGAACCAACTGTAGATGCAGCAGGTGGTGATGGTCCAGTCAAGAAAGATGTTAAAGGAACTTACGTTTCAATTCACAGCTCAGGATTTAGGGATTTTCTTTTGAAACCTGAATTACTGAGAGCTATTGTTGATTGTGGATTTGAGCATCCTTCCGAAGGTAATTAAACTAAAATTATACTGTAGCTAGAAACATTCATTGACTTTGTACCTAATTTCTCAAAATGACCGTTTTTGTTGTTACAGTGCAGCATGAGTGCATACCACAGGCAATCTTATCTATGGATGTCTTGTGTCAGGCCAAATCTGGCATGGGTAAAACTGCTGTGTTTGTACTTGCAACACTGCAGCAGCTAGAGCCTGTCGATGGACAGGTAACTATTTTATTCAAATGTTTTCTTTGGCAAAATGATGATAGATTATCACTATTAGGCTAGAGTTCTGATTTTGCATAGCAAATTTTTGATTGTAAATAGTGTGCTGATTGCCATTTATAATTTTATTCTTAAGTACCAGAATGTATAGAACTAACTTAAATAAAATGATCCTTAATGCTGTCATTTCATTTTCAGGTTTCAGTTTTAGTGCTGGCACACACAAGAGAGCTTGCTTTTCAGATCAGTAAAGAATATGAGAGGTTCAGCAAGTACAACAATAATGTAAAGATTGCAGTATTCTTTGGTGGTATGAATATTAAGAAAGATGAAGAGGTTCTAAAAAAGAATTGCCCTCACATTGTAGTTGGAACACCTGGCCGTATTCTTGCCTTGGCTCGGTCTAAAGTCTTGGCTCTAAAAAATATCAAGCACTTCATTCTTGATGAGTGTGACAAGATGCTGGCAGAAATTGGTATGTTTGAAATAAATGGATCTGTTGTTTGAAATTGATGTATCTATGTTGTCAACCTGCACTCTTTCCATGTTTTGTACATGTTTTTTTTCTTGTTCACAGATATGCGCAGAGATGTTCAAGAAATATTCCGCATGACACCCCATGAGAAGCAAGTGATGATGTTCAGTGCCACATTAAGCAAGGACATCCGCCCAGTTTGCAAGAAGTTCATGCAAGATGTAATTTTCTCCAATCAACAACTTTCCTACTATCAATGTTTCCAAACTGTCAGCGGAGGCTGAATACATCATTGCCATGGTCAAGCTCCATTTTTGAAGCGCTCTCATGCTTCATTTAAGTTACACTAGTTACAGAATAATACATACACTCTTGATATCTAGTTTTATCAAGAGATACAAAGTCAACGTTAATCTTGATTAGGGACTGCCACCCAGTGCAGATTAGGCCTCAGAAACCTCCTGCGCTGAACGCGGGGGGCAAGCTGGGTCTTGTAGCTTTATTTTTTACATCTAAACCCACCTAGACACTATTTTTACTGCCACCTGCAAATCAGAAGTACATACATATCCAATTTACACCTCCCATTTTGGAATGAACCGGAAGAGAAACACGGAGATCCCCTTGGATGTGCCTTTGGCCTCCCACATGCATGGGTCCTTGGTTGTGACCTTCTGGCAATTACATCGCAGACAACCTTGTCATGATGTCCACTTCTGCTGAAATGGTTGAGAGATGGTTTTTTTTGTTTTTTGTACTGTTCTTTATATATTTAGTATTTTGTAGGGTTAGCCTGTAATCTATTGCTTACATGATTTGATTCCCTATGATGATAATTGGAATTACCAATTGAACTCAAATGAAATTAACCACCGCGGCATTTATTACCTGAGGGAATATGCTTATTGTAGCTAAGTTAGGTTTTCACTAACAGCCTCTTTTCACAGCCCATGGAAGTATATGTTGATGATGACTCAAAGCTAACACTACATGGTTTGCAACAACACTATGCCAAGTTAAAAGACAATGAGAAAAACAGAAAACTTTTTGAACTTCTTGATGTGTTGGAGTTTAATCAGGTGAATGTTTTTATTTTTCTTGAGTTTCCATATGATGATAATTGGAATTACCATTTGATATAACATGAAAGTATCAACCGCGGCAATTACTTATCTGATGGAAACAAACTTCATTTCATACTTTTGGCCCTTGCAGTTCTTGTAATATTTTATATGTTCTCCAGGTCATTATTTTTGTCAAGAGCATCCAACGCTGCATGGCCTTAGCCCAACTTCTGCAAGAACAGAATTTTCCAGCAATAGCTATCCATCGAGCCATGACACAGGAAGAAAGGTAAAGTAAAAAAAAAAGCATGTTATGTTTTTATAACGCTATACATTTCTTACACATTGCATTGTTTAAGAACATTATGTCAATATTCTACCTCTGTTACTTACAGATTGTCACGCTACCAATCATTTAAAGATTTCCAGAAAAGGATCTTAGTTGCAACTGATTTGTTTGGAAGAGGCATGGATATTGAAAGAGTCAACATTGTTTTCAACTATGATATGCCTGAAAACTCTGATACTTATCTTCACAGGGTAAAAATTGATATATTCATTGAAAAAAATAATTGTCCTGTGATGAAAACTGGAATTACCATTTGATGTCATGTGATATTAATCTTGCGGCATTTTTTCTGAGGACTACTTATCTTTATCCTTGTCCAAAATTACTAGTTCTGCAACTAAAATTTTGACATGGTATACTTACAGGTAGCCAGGGCTGGTCGCTTTGGAACTAAGGGGCTTGCTATTACATTTGTTTCTGATGAAAATGATGCTAAGATATTAAATGAGGTACAAGAACGATTTGAGGTCAACATCACAGAGCTGCCAGATGAAATTGACATTTCCTCATACAGTGAGTTAAGCTATTAACTTTATATAGCTATTAAACTTATCAAATTTACAAGGCAGCAATAGTTTTTGCTTTAAATAGCATGTCGTATCTCTGGGTTTAATGTTTATTAAATTCGGTCGTAAGATATGCTACATTACCTGAGGTACACAGACCTTTTAAAATGCTAGCAATAGCAGAAGTTCTGCTCCCCTACATTTGTAATTTGAAAGTATAACCTATCTGAGGCTTGACATGTATTCTCATTAACAATTTTTAAAAATTTCTCTTGCAGTTGAAGGTCGTTAATGAAGAGGATGCTGATGGGATCAATTCTGGGTCATTTGTTTTAATATTTTAATGTAAATAAACTATTTTAATCATGACATTTTTGTTGTTAGTATATTGTGTGCAAATTTTAGTAAGCCCTAGTTTATTCATGTGTTGCTTGTGGTACCTCTTTAGTGTGAAACCATTATATAATACTATTGAATATAGTATTCTTTATATGAAGTTAATGACCTTAAGTCTCATTAGGGAAATTATTTTTTTTTGTGTAAGTAGTGATTTGTAGCTATTTGGCTATTTTAACCCTCAATAACTATAGTAGTATAGGAATTAAAACTTAATTGTTAAACTAGAGAAAATATATTGAAAACTAATAGTGTAATAGCTTAAATATTTATCAATAATTTTCCGGATTGTTAAAAATTAAGGCACTTTTAAGAAAACCTGTAGTGTAATCGTCCATTTTTGGTGTGATTAGATTTAGAATGGTAAATACCTTATCTCTACTTAGACAACAGATTCTCAAGCAATAGTCTCCCTTTCTAATGTATGATTTTACGGGGCAGATGAAGTAGGGTTCATAGTTTAACTTTAATGACCTGGTGTGGTCACCAGTATTGTCCTTACCTTCTCCAACGTGAATTCACGTTCAGGCGCATTAAAATTAAAGGTTTGAACTGCAGCTAATATTTGATAATTAAAATGAATTTATTTTATAAAATTAATGCCAAATTGCAGGATTGATTTGTTGTAGATTTAGATGCCCAGTCACTAAAAAGTATACTTGATCAGTCCCATTATTTTTTCTTAGCTTGTGCTGCCTCTCAGCTTTAGATTAAGATATTCCCCTTTATTAAATATAGTAATCTAATCTTCATACTGTTTTAAAGACTAACCGTCAAAGACTAAAACTAAAAGATCTTGCAGAACAGACAGTAATTAATAAACTATTTTAAGCATTTAATGTTCAAGATCTGTATCAACATTCAAAAAATATTCCATAAGTACAAATTTATATGAAGTGAAGCTATTAATATTATTTATTTTGTCATCTTTATTTTGTCATCGTATTCTTTCCAGTTTTAACTAATGGCACAGGTGCTGGCTCCACATTTAACTCTTTTCTAAAGTCACTGATGTCTTGTTCCCAGTGTTTTTCAAAGTAAACATTCATTAAAAACTTGGAGTTGTAAGCTGACCGAATAGCCCATGGCAGGTATATCTCCATATACTTTTGCTTGTGTCTGGAACACAAATTTTCTTTAATCAACAATTAATATCTCACCTGCAATTTTTATAACTAATAATAACCAAACCCAGGGTTCCCACGCAGCCGGGAAACCGGGAAAAAACCGGGAATTTCAAGATTTAATTTCCCGGTCGTGAAAACCGGGAATTTCGATGAATAACCGGGAAATATCTTTAAAAACCGGGAAATCTTGCTTCCCATGGTTTTTTCTTTCGGGTGTCGCGAGATTTGAACCGGGTTTAGGCCTATCCAATCGCTAGTCTCGCCACATCTCGTGACCTAGTTTTGGCGTACAAAACTAGTCTCGCCGGTTCTCGTGGTGCCTCTTTACCGTTGATCTGTTTTCCGCCCATCACACACGTGTACATGGTACATCTACTGCTATGCTTGCTTAGGGTTACCCATCATTGGCGTGACGTAATTTTTTTCATTGGTTTTTTTTAGGATTAGTTTAAAATTTAGTTTAGGCAACACGTGATTTTTTTTTAACTTGCCGTAAACTCGCCGTGTAGTCTAGATATTGACCTAAATAAACTGTATTAAAAGGACTAGGATCCCGCGCGAGTACAGTTTTGTTTAATATTATTTTAAGGATAACCGTTCTAGCAGACTATTTAACTGTTAGCCAGTGATACTGAATTTGGGAGAAACACAGATTTAAAAAAACAACAACGAAATTTGCAAAGCCAGCCTTTCTCGCGTTCATAAGAAAAAAATTAAAGGCTAGTGACGTCACCAACAATGTGAAATGCGTAGATGGGTCAACTACAATTATTTCATGGGAGGGGAGTACCTGGAGTAAATAGGGCTTTCTTGAACTCACTGTGACCCCAAGTAGGCCCACGCGTTCATACCGCAAGGTGGTTGGGGGGGGGGGGGGGGAGATAAAGTGACGTCATCAGCTATCTCTAATAGTAGTTGACGTATGCTATTGGCCTTCACAATGACCTCTCCACGTTGTCCAGTTGTGGGGAAGGGGGGATGCTATACCGTCTAGGCTTTTGAAAAGCATACATATTGATGTATTTACTATTGTCTTAAGTATGGGTCTGCTTGGCTTAGAAGTTGGTTTTTATTTTTACGTTTTTTTTTTTCTTATTCAAAATACGATTTATTTTATATAAAAAAAATGCCACAGGATCTAATTTCAGTTACTCCGGTTGATCTCATTGGGGGTCGTCCATAAATGAAGTCACACTCGTAAGGAGGGGGGGGGGGGTCCGTAATTTTGTGACGGTGTGTGATGAGGGGGAGGGGGGTGTTCAGATGGTGTGACGTCACACTTTTGAATAATAAAACGGCAATGTTAGAAAACGAGTTTTAGCCGTTCTTTCGCGTTTTAGAAAACGGTTTTAATAAATTCTAATAAGAATTTATTAAAATACTCTGTTGACAGGTTTTAGAAAAAAATATCGATGTTTTAAGAGAAATTCAACTGCAATTTTGAGGGGGGTTGTAGGTTGAGGTGTGACGTCATTTTAGGGGGGGGTCTGGCTTTTTGTAACGATGTGTGACGGAGGGGAAGGGGGGGAGGTAAAAATCGTCAAAAAAGCGTGACGTCATTTATGGATGACCCCTTGTCTATCAAACTAATGTTTGTTAATATTAGGCTTGTTTAAGTTTTAAAAATACAGGTACCTCTAAGAAACGACATAAACATTAAGTGGAAAACAGTCCGAATGATCATTATAGTTTAAATAAGTTCAATTTTGAAGAAAAAAAATTTATTTTTGTGTGCTTTAAAAAAAATGTCTCAGTATTATTTCATAGTAACAAAAACTTCTTTTATTTTAGATATTAGCTATACTAAGGTATTCATTAGTACAATAGTAGCAGTGAGAGATAATTTCAGACTTCTTGTCTTTAAACAAATTATCTGCTGTTTACAGTTTGTTGGTTAGGTGAATAACTACACACTTTTGGCTGACTACTTTATTGAACTCAATATAGGAAGTGCTAAAATTAAATAGGCCTACTTAGATATGTTACTAACTGAAGTGTACATTTCTACAACTTTTAAGATAAGGTTTTAAATTGTGACTACTATTAGCTTAACTTATTAATTGTATTATCATAAACAGTTGTTTTGTATTGGGGGAGGTTCTAGAAATGTAATATTACATTATAATGATTATGGGATCAAGATGGGTCTACTATTTTAAACTATTTTTGTTACATTCACAATCCTTTAAATATTAATTTTTTTTTAAAGATTTTTATAAAGTTAAAATCACGAAAGGAATTATTTTAAAAAATATAACATGATATTATTAATATGAATCAAATGTTTTAAAAAGTAAGTATTTTTTTAAATTTCTGACGCAACATCAAGTTTCACAGTTTAAAAATTTCAGTTTTGGGATTTAATTTTAGGATATGATTCACTTTAAAAAATGAGTGCCCCCCCCTAAAAAATGTCTGCTTTTTTGTGGTTTAATTAAATTTAAATTGGCAAGTTCAATGGTTATGCGCGTTGAAATTTATATGTAAAATAGCAGGGAATTTATACTTGAAATAGCAGGGAATTTCTTGGAATAGCAGGGAATTTTCTGGTAAAAAATTTGTGGGAACCCTGCAAACCCTATAAGCTTGTTAAACCCAGGATTTGACTACTATGGCAGACTCAAACATAGCCATTTAGTATTTTCACTGTACTTAATACTACTTGATAAACAAATAGGCCTGGTTACAAAATGTACATATTTAATTAGACGAGGGATACATATCAATGCCCCAAGCTTCAGATTGAGACAAGGTTATGTTCTAAATCTACTAAGGCATCATGGTTAAAAATATGTGTGCATTTCTCTTCATCAGAACCTGCAGACATTTCGAACTCATTTTCAAAAATCTGAATTTAGATTTCCTTAATATTTTGATATTAAACACTACGTGAAATTGAATTGTTACGGTATATATATTGCTTAGAAATATTATGCCACAAATGTCTTAAAAAAATCAAGCTCACTTAGGTCCTAATCTTATGGGTCCAAATAATGCAGCGGTTATACACATTGGTAAACCAGTCTGAATGGCTTCAAACCACTTAACAGCCACCTCTCCAAGCATGTTGGGAGGCATTCCCAGCAAAGTGTGCACCAGATCGTGACACTGTCGATACCTCAGCATCACATACATTAGATCAACATCATCGACAAAGTTTACAGGTCGTCTTGCATCAGGGGAGAATCCCTACACAAATATAAAAACAACTAGATAGTGTGCCAGTATATTAAATCTATAAACATGATTAACATGGAGATATGAAACTAAACCTTAAATTTCTTTTAATAGTGATAGTGAATGTACACAACAAATGTTTTTATAGCACCTGAATGTTGATTGGATTTCAATTAATTTCATGACCAGTAATTGCACCTGAATGTTGATTGGATTCCAATTAATTTCATGACCAGTACACTACAAAACAGGTAATCTGTACTTCGCAGGGTAGTGCCCAGCAACGGATGGCGCTACTGACCTCTCATGTAATTAAACTACGGAATAAACAATTAAACTTACATTTACAGATAAGAATTTCCAGTATTCTTTTCCAAATGTACCTTCCGGGAGTTTACCTAAATAGTCAACATCCACTGTGTTTGTTGTGATGAGTGGCTTTTCTCTAAGTAAGAAAATATATATAAGAATTAACCTAATGCCATTTAACAAGCAAAATAGGAATTGCAGAAGCACTTGACAATTCATCAATTCAAAAAAAGCCTTGCATTCATGGACTCTACCTGCAAAATTTAAGTTATAATTTACTATCATAAAAGAATAACACTAAACCATCAATACAATAAAAAGATGTATAGATCACATATTAATTTTTTTATCCAGCATTATCTTTCATCTGACCGATAGGCTTTCCTTGATGTAGCAGCCTGATTTTAAATTATTTTACAAGTAACAGAACAATGAGGTACAAGCAGTAATGTACATATCAAGAAAGGATAATGTAATACTGATATACATACTCTAAGATTTGCCTTCCTGTGGCATCAGCTAGCATTTTCTTATGCATATACCTTAATGCAATGGGTCCTGTAGTTTCACCAAGAGCACAGATCATGTCTGAAAAATACATTGATAATGATATATTTATTATGAAAATAAATACAAATAATCAGCAACCTTGGAACATGAAAGTAGGCTAATTACAATTAGAACTGGCTTGGACGAAAGAAAATATTAACAGGTGCAATTCCACTTCCACACATTACTTTTCTTAACATTTAAAAAATATATAAAATAAACATTACCATAATATTTAATCAGGGTATAAATGCACACTATATTTATATGATGGTTAACAAATACAGAGATATTTCACAAAACAAAATGCAATTTTTAAATATATAACTTTTATTACAAAAACTAGACAAGTGGGGCAATTCCAAACCCAATATGAAAATTAAAAGATAAATAAATTTCAAAATTTGTAAAAAAACATTTTTCCCCCTGGAAACAATTTGGCAGCGACTCTTCATCAGAGAAAGCCTCACTTTCTTCCTCTGGAATTCTAATCTCCTTAGGCAGCCTAACCTCCTTAGTCAAAGATTTAGAACAACAGGCAGCTTCCTGATCTGCAGATTATTTTTTTTGGTTGCCTTTTTTTTATGCATTTACAGCTTTCTCTACTACCTCTGCCTCCAATCTTTCAAGGCATTCTTTTGAAGTAAGACCCTCCCCATAAGCTCTTTTGATTGCCTTAGCCAGCATTAGTGTTTTTGAAATAAAAAAATCCTTTATTGAGTCATTATTGGCTGCTGGTGTTTCAGCAGGTGGCATATCAGCCTGAGGTGGTAGCTCATGAGTAATAGGCCTACCACTATCATCACTTGTTGAATCAGGCTGCTTTTCTGGCTCATAGAGCCTGTCCAAAACTTCAGCTGACTAATAATTTGTAGAAGGAATTTGCCTGGGGTCAAAAGGCTTGATACCACACTTAAGATAGCCAGCCTTGATATTTTGGGCAGACAAGCTTTCATTTTCCCACAGCTGCTTCAGAAGCACAGGGAAATCTCTTTAGATAGAGCCATCCCCAAGTTCTGCCGTGCAAACTTTATAAGAACTTTTTCCTGAGATGTTTTTTGCAGGCCCATAGACATCCAGTAGTTGCACCACATGCGTAGAGTTAAATCGCAATTTGAGCAGAATGACATCATTGTCTACTGCACATCTAATAGTGGCGATACTCAAGTGCGATGCATTGCCATCCTTAATCAGGAAAACTGGTATTCACTCAGGCAGTGTTGCCAACAAAAATTCACAAACCAGTCATGTAAACTTCTGGTGTCCGTCCACCCCTTCTCACTGACATTTATCTGGCACAAGCTGGCCCATTAAGTGTCCAGTTAAACCATAGGTTTTTGGCTGCTTACAGAACATAAGGTGGCAGCATCAGTCTGTCTGCTCTGGTACATTTCTACACAGTAATGGAGCCCCTACCGGAACCACCAATGAGCCGAAACAGGTGAATTATTTCTTTCACTTTCATCAACATTACAGATCCTCTCAGGCTTGTCAGAGAGGTCATTCACCCCCAGTGTCTCATGCAAAAGCTTGATCTGTTCTTCACAAATGGTTTTGTTTGCTGATGATTTTGCAAGTGATTTCTTCAGTTGTTCTGGGATGCGGCATGTTAGCTGCGGATGCCTTTAGGAAGCTTCAGACAGCCATTCAGATCCTAGCAGGTCAGCAGTGAAAGGGTCTCCTGGGTCTCACAACGCGTGAGGCCGAATAGCCATCTGCCCAGGATTGTTAAGCAGCTGGCCAATTCAGTTTCTTCATCGGCAGTTAGTATTGTATTTCTGCCAGCTCCCATCTTACTGTAGCAGCCCCTGACTTGGTCTCTTATGGTTGCTTTTTTAGGCCTTAGAGGGTTGCATCTTTCTGGCAGCCCATTTTACCACTGATGACCTTTTCAATTGCAATTTTCATGGCCTTCTTGACATAGACAGAAGTTTTCGTTTCTTTCTTTGAACCATTCTGAAATGAGAACAAAATTAAATATTAATACTACTGGCCCAGGCTTATGTAATGCTAATAAGCTAATTACTGCTGTGTGTATTGGGAGATGTTTGGCTATAAATATTGCATAAATGATATAGATACAGTAAAAATAATAATAGATAAAGAAATAAAAGAAGTCTGGGGCAATTTTTCCTGATTTATTTTAATAGCAGTCTTTTTACAAATCAATACTATTTAAGTACCTTTTTATAATCAAATCATGAGTAGTGAATTACAGAATTAGTTACAACCAGTTTAAATTGTTTAAATAATAGCTAAACCCTCTACATAGTATAAAAACCAATCTGGGAATTTCTACACAAGAAAGTTAGGAATTGCCCCACACCTACTATTGAAAAAAAAATGCTTTCCTGTTCTAAATTAATGGCTAAATCTAGCATCATTTATTGTTACTATGAACAAAAATGATTAAGCTTTCATTAAATCAATGAAAAATCAACAACAATAAGAAATAAAAAAAATAAACTATTTTTACAAAGTGCAGAGGTTGTACTTACATATCGTCATATGGATGTTTGAAGATATGTGTGCAGATTGAATTAAAATTCTTGCTCTGATTGTGCATGAACGCTTCTTTAACAGAAAGTACAGAAAATGATATCTTAGAAACAGAAAATAGTTAATTTTTTATTCAAATTTACTCCCTTTTAAAATACACAGTATTCAGTATATAGGGTGTGGAATGACCCCGGGTTACCCTATTTATCCCTTTGTGTTAAAAGCCTTGCATCAATCATATTACTAAAAATACTCTGTAGATAATGGAAATCAATGCAGAGCTAAGTCCACCAGATACAGTACAAAAGAAAAGCAACAAACAGCAGAATTTCATGATTCACAGCATCACAAACAAAAAATGTCTAGTTTAGCACTGAGTGAAAGATTCATCTACACTGTTATGAAGTCATCTGTGATATTGATTGGTTGGTATTGATGATGATGACTGCAGTGAGAGGTTTAAATTAAACGCCAACACAATTTCAGCTAGGCAACTTTAATGGTTACTACTTTTGGTATTGTCTAACTAGGAAATAAACTTGAACATCAATAGTGACCAGCCTTAGGGGCCAGCCCTATCACACATTAAAAAACATAAAAATATGACTACATCCTAGCAAGCCTAATGTTCAACTGTCCTATCTTTCTGGCCCAAACTTCACCCTGGGTTCCTTAACCCCTGCATGACCCTGGCAGTCCAGCGAGGGAGAGGGTGCGGGCACCCTAACCTGCACATAGCTACAGGGGGGGGGGGGCAGGGATGCATTGTGTCCCAGTTCAGGTGTGGGACTGGAGGTGTGGGGAGGGGCAGTACACGCTGTCGCAGTTCAGGAGGGGGGTGGGGTAGATACCAACTAGCTGTGGGATGAGGGTGGTTGGACTCAGTTATAACATACACATTTTTTTTTTACCTACCATCTCTGGCTGGGTTCAGCAAACATGTTATTCCAGATCCCAAGGCCAATAGAGATTTTTGAAAAAATGATGTTGTGATGTGTCCAGGGTAAAGAACATCATACTTCTGATGTGGATCAGGATTTTCAAACTGAGAAGAATCTTGAGCCGTTTCGGCTGTGCCTAAACAATATATTGAAATTGCTTAATTATTTAATTTAACTAATTGTCAGCTTTAAGGTAACTGTATGAATAGTAATAGACCTGTAGTGAATAAAAATTAAAGCAATAAAATAAAAATTTAAAAATGTTATCCGAAAATTTTTGGAAACAAATAACTAGTCTATGTTACGTTGTCAGAAAATCGATCATGGAGTTTGTTTTATGGAGCTTGAGTTTTACAAAATGAAAAGTGAAACATCGGGTTATAATTTAGGCTTGATGAAAATAAACAAAAATGTAGCCTTAAACTCAAAAAAACTATTTTCAATTTCTCTGGATTTGGAGCTTTTATAACATTGATTGTAAAAAGGCCAAGGCTATTCCCAGCCGGTTGGGAATAGTCATATTGGGGCTATTCCGACTGGGAATAGCTCCAATACGACTATTCACAGTCTGCTGTCATTTCATGCTAAATAGGACTGGGAATAATATCTTACAATAACAAAAAAGTATAGAAAAAGAGAGCAGTGCTATTTTTATTGTGTTATATTTTCATAAAAAAATTACTATGGTTTAAGTTAAGTTTAGGCTTTAGGTTAATATGAGCTATAGGCTATGTAGGTAGTAGATGATCAATTATGCACTAAATCTATACTAGATTAATAGCCTAGATGTAGCTTTTTTAAAATAAATAATACTATTATTAATTATGCATCAGTTTAGTTAGTAGTTCACATCATTGCTATTCAACTGCCAATTAGAGGCAATTACCATTTAAAATTCACATAGGACAAATATCTAGTGAAATAAGTTTTGTGTTTCGGTTGTGTTTATAATAAAATACGCTCAACAGAAGGTGAACGTGAAGCAGGGAATAAAATATGCTAAATGGAGTTTTACCGAATAATCTACTAAATTAACTAGGCCTAAATATTACTAAATAAATTAATAATAAATATTACTAGGCTATAAACTAGTATAAACTACAAACAAATTTTTTTAATTTAATCTACCTAGTCAACTAGAGATTAGATTCTAGATCTAGACTAGCTAGATTCTAGATCTCTTGACAAAATCTAGAATAGTGAAATAGACTATTAAAAAATTTAGTATTAGGCCCTATTAATCCGCACTGGAATAGAATTATGAATTAACCTTCTAGTTAATTTTTTAGTATGTCTAGAATCTAGATCTAGATCTACTTCTTAAATTAAACAATAAAGTTATTCTTAACTTCTAGATCTAGATCTGAGAATACCTTACTTAAATTTCTCAGGTTTTTTAGCCTAGTTGCACTGGCGAAAGCTTGACAATATAATAATCTACAATAAGATGACTTGATGAAGTTCGTGCTGAGTTTGGCAGCCATTATTATTGAGGTTCAGAGGTCATGTCACTTGGGTCTAGGTCAGGTCATACTCAAAATGAAAACAAACACGACCGGCAGGATTTCGTTAGAGGAAATATCTCCTAAACGAAGATCGTTTAAATTAAAATAACAGTTTAAAGTAAATAACTATCTTATACAACTGTCGTTGACTAAAATAACAGATTAATAGAATTAACTCAATGAAATAATTAAAGTTCAGCCTATAAAGTTTTGCAAATCCAAGTTACTCTAACTTACACAACTATGCATTAACTACACTCGACTAAGATAACAATATTCAATATGACTACTGTCCAACTCAAACGTCCCGAATTGCAAAGTAAACAATATGCATTTATTTAGATCTATATAGATCTACTAATGTATAATAAAAGATTTTGACCCTTGTCAGTTTATTACAAATAAATTTGGGCATAACTGTAATGTATTTCTTTGAATCAGTGTGAATTTTAAAAGGCGAGTATGTTTTAAAAAAAGTATTAACTAAAATATATGGAAACCTAACTAAAATTATAGTGTCAAACTGCGTCTAGATCTAGATCTATATCTTTTTACTCAGTATAAACTTATAGTAAAAAAAAACAAACTTTCGTTAAAAATAATAAAAAGAACACATAGTGTCAAGATACTTTATCGGTATGCTGAAATTTTTTATTTAGTTTGCTGTAATTAGTGTGAACTTTTTTTGGACATCGCAATCAGAGGATCTCATTGAACTTAAAAATATGTTTGTTTTACAAACCGTTTGATAAAAACATTAGAAAATCATGTCTTTTTGTTTTAGCAGAATGTCTTCTTGTTTGAGAACATTAAAGATACACAAGACATGTAAACACATTCACGCGTCGTATTCACATTTTACAAAGATAAAAAGAACGCAAGACAAACTGAAACTTACATCAGCTGTTTTTAAAAACGAAAGTGAAGATAAAATCAGATTAAACATTTGCCATAAGCTCCACTATCAGTTTAAACATCACTTTAACTCATCCAGCAAACTTCATGATGACAGCATTGACGTGTCTGATAAAACACAACATGAACTAAAATCTAAAAAGTTGGGAGATTTTGTACCTCGTCTTGCAATCTTGTACAAGTGTAAAATATGTGGAACCAGAAACAACCATACATTTTCTAAAAAATCTTATGAAGAGGGAGTTGTGATTGTGAAATGTTCTAAATGCCAGAGTAACCATTTAATTGCTGACAATTTGGGATGGTTTAAAGATGTTAATAAAAGGTAGGCCTACCTTTTAGCCTTTTTAAAAATCAATTTTAAAAGCCCATGTGCGCACTTCTGTCTCTCTCTCTCTCTTTCCGCAAATTTTTTTCACAGGCTATCATATCATAATATCAGTATCTTCAGCGATATATGGAGAACTTGATACAAATTTTTGTTGAAAATAATATGTTGGATGTTTTAAATGTAGGCCTATAAACTAAATTTTTTTTTAAAGAGGGAAAATAAAAAATAAAGGCATATTCAAATGTAGAAACACAATATTAATTATACAGCCGGAAAAGTGTTTATAGTCATGAGAAGAACGTCATAAAACAACGTCACAAGCCACATGTTAACACTGTGGAAAGTACACAAAACTAATGGCATCATCTTCTGCTTTTAGAATATAAAGAAATGAACTATTCCATTCAAAATTGATTTAGATCTGAATTCTATAAATCTACGTATTACTATGTATCAAGACGTAGTCTACGCTATGAAGTATATACATTTTTCTGGGTCAAACTTTTAACAATTTCTTTAAAAAACAACATAATGACCATTGAATAGCCGTGTTTTTAACAGAATCATTTAAGTCTCTTAATCAGTGTGTGCATTTAATATGGTCTTCTGTTGACTGATAATGTTTATAATTTGGTTTTAATTTTTCTAGTAAGTATTGGTAGCCTATGTTATTTTAAATGTGTCAGATTTTTAGCTATTTAGTTATTTCTTTGTTCTGTAACTGATGTTCAACATGTAGTAAAGCACATTGCGTTTTGACCAATAACTATTTTATAAAATATTTTTTTCAAACATGTATAACATTAATTAAAATATATAGGCCTAGGCCTTGTTTAGTGTTATCATAAAAGCTAGCAGTACAATTATTGGTATTGGATGATGAATTAACAATTTATGATAAAGTGATGTTATTATTACTTTAAAATAAATAGTTTTTTCCATTCTGATTCTCCATAATGTTTTTTTTTTTTTTTTTGTGGCTGGTATTAGTATTCTTATCTTGAAACTTATCCTTATCTTTAATCTTGTGGAACAGCATTATAGGAAATATAGATTGAGGTTGAACCTAATCTTAGTCAGGTCTTGTCAGAGGGCAGATCAAACCAATAATTTAATCTATTTAAATTTAATAATTTAAACAGTGTAAAATTACTACTGATTACAATAAGTTCTTTCAAAGCCATGCTTTCCTAATAATACAATTAATAAATTTGAAATCTTCTTCAGTGTTATTAATTTTTATTTTTTTATTATTGGAAGGGATTCCCTCCAACACAATTAAGTATTTCATGTCAACTTTTATGCACCATATACACTATCGACTCCAATCTGAGCCTGCTTTTCTTTTTGGATTTGCTTCCGTAGCCTTTGTCCAACCAAGAACAAACTACAAGGCAGCAGTTGTTTGATTTTGTAGTTGTCTTTCCTAGAAGAACTATTGTTCCCAGCTATCAAGCCTCATCTGCCTGGGGGTTTGAACTCGAGTTTAGCAGCTATGAGCTTTACTGACTCAACCACGCTGACCCCAATAAATTTGAAATGATATTCTCTAGCTTTAATCTTGATCTATAAGTTTGAAGTCTTGTTACCATGAAATCTGCATTAATACTACCATTTGTAGTACTGTTCTATTACTCATGTATTTAAACTGTGAGTTTTGCTGTAAGCTTAATCTTAGTTTTTGGAGAACCATTACCTGATGCATACAATATAGCCTACATAATTGAAATAAATTCTTGTTCTGCTTAACTTATCAGTAATTCCAGCTGTTATTTCCAAACTGTTACTTATCATAATGTATTTTCATAAGCAACATGTATCATGTTGTATATTGTATATATGTTATAAAGCTAACTATTTCTTTTATTTCTTATTGTTTGATCTACTAATTGGTTATGATTGTATATTGTTCTTTTAATAAAATATATTTATAGTTATTTGATATAAATTATAATATATAATTATTTAAATATTGCAAAAATTAAAATAAAATCAGTGGCATATTTTATTTTTAATTTTGTATAAAAGAATTTTAATACAATTATATTTTTTGTTGACAGAAATATTGAGGAAATTTTGGCAGCTAAAGGTGACGAGGTGACTAGATTAAAAGACGTAGACATTCCTAAAGAGGTGTTGGAGGAATTAAAAAAGATGCAACAAAAGGACTGAATCTTGTTATTCACATGCTAAGATACTATTCTATTACTATGTTGTTATTATTCCTAGAAAATATCTGCATGATAAAAATGTAGACCAGCAGTATCATGAGGTCAGGATCTGGGTGCTATAACATATAAGATGTGATGCCATCACTTTTTTTTCTATTTTGTCTGCCTATATTTTAAAGAATTGCAAAATTTACTAACAAAGAATGTAAAAATAAAATATCTCAGAAGAAGGGAGGATGTAACATCATAGCTAAAATGTTGAATTTTTTAAGGGTGTATGTGTGGTATAACCTTGAGAAACAACTTTATATCCAAATTAAAATATGAACAATGGTTTCTACTTGTATTAATCAAATTGTTTCGGTTCTTCAATCTTATTATATTTATAATGTTATGACTATAATAAATAGTTCCTTTTTATATCAAGATAATAAAAAGTGCTTATTATTAATACCAGTAAATAACATTCAAGATAACACTGACATTTTAAATTTAGCATTTCTTTTTACCTTTTATTGTTTTATACTCAAGTATGTTTTAGGTTTTAACAACTTCTAATATATACTGTGTGTCACATTAAATAAATTTAATATGGTTTCATCAGTGTATACATTGTCTCAGTATACACAATACAAGACATGAACATTCATATTTATTGTTTTAAAAATACATTTTTACTGAATGTGAATGCCTTACTTTTGTACTGGTAGAATGCTGTGGATAACTCAGTCGTTGTGTTTTAAATTTTAATGTATTTGGGTTCAATTAAATGCCTTAATATTTAGATTATGCTGTTTCCTGCAAATGTAACATAAAAATATTCTATAAAATATGTATATAGACATTACTTTTGCTGTTTTGAATAAAGTGAAAAAAAAAACCCACCTAAAGGATATAACCAATGTGAAATTTATTTTTGTGAAATAATAATGTGTATTATTTATCTATATGTATTGTAAGGTGTATTGTAAGGCTGGGTCTTCCTCCTAGTAGTAGTAGTGAGCCTTCTGCATTGTGTGGTTCATTCTTATGGAATAGTTCTAAACTACATGACCACATGTATGGTGCCTATACAGCATCACTAAGCTAGACAACAAAAATCAAAATGGTACTTGAAAATCTTTTTTTTTGTTCTTAGTCAAATTCTTGGGGGGGGGGGGGGGGGGGTGTCGATAAACAATATCACACCCCTTTTTGGACCCCCACACATACACACATCACATTCTTTGTTTTTTATTTAAAACTCTTTCTTAACCGATCTGGGTTAAATCTCACTAAATACACAGCTGAGAATCTTTTTTTTTTTTTGTATACAAAATGACTTGTATTAAGATAAAATACACGTATAAGACATTTGTGTTGAGTTATATGAAATTCGGGTCCAGATAAAACCCGTCACTAATCATTTTTTCTCGGGGGGGGGGGGGGGACTTGATATTTTCGGGGTGGGGGGGGCGGACTTAGTTTTCTGGGGGGGGGGGGGGTGAGAGAGACACTGGTAAAAGTATATGTTATCTATATAAATTTCATTTCGTTCGGCGAGAGGGGGAGCGGCGGCGGTAGACTTTCTTCAGGGTGGCTCAGCACCCCCCCCCCTCCCCCCACACAAAAAAAGATGCCAGGAAGAAGCTGCCACTAATGCAAAAAGTGCACTGGCGAAGATTTCCCCCACTTGTGACCTATTTCTGAACTACTGAGTAGACAAGATAAATGACAACATACTGACAGGGCGGGTGTGTTCATTAACTTGTTACTATATAATACGTGGGGGAAAAGAGGGGGGGGGGGGCTCTTATGTGACAGTTAAAATGAGGGGACGGCGGTTTAATTGGTCAGATGTTTGTGACGTCATTACGAGCGACCACACAACCAACTGGGAACTAAACAGTGCAGACGTCCCTCATTGTGGCGCGGTTAGGGCTGGTAAGTAGGTCACAACCAGTTATACTGCTCAATAAAACCTGCATGAGCTATATGACTGGTTGGTGACCTACCTACCAGCCCTATTACAGGGCGTCACCGCTCTAGTATTAAAACAAGATTTAAAAAAAGAAGCAAGCTGGTTGAGATTCACCTCATTGGCGTTTTTAGCCTGCGCAACCATGGACATTGAGGCAGTGTATCTTTCGGACATTTATCTCACGTGGAGTGTGTGTGTGGGGGGGGGGGGGGTTCACTTAAAATTTCCTGAGGCGGGGGTGGGGGAGTGCACTGATTAAAATATATATTCCTATATCAATTTTATCTTTTTTTTGGTCCGATTGCACGTTTGAAATTCAGTAATGCAGCCAGAGTTTCTTCCAGGCATCTCTTCGGGGGGGGGGGGGGGGGGCGAAGCCCTCTTGAATATTTTTTACCGCCCCCCCGAACGAAATGAAATTTATATAATTTATATAGAAAATATATACTTTTAACAGTGTCCGCCCCCCCCGAAGAAAGTCTACCGCCCCCCCCCCCCGAAAATTAAGTTAAGTAGGTTTGTGAGCGTCCGACTTGTAGCTGTACAAGAAACTAAATAAGCAGCGGTGTCACTAGTTCGGGTGTCACTACACCCCCTTCAAACAATTTTGCATTTTCGGCTTGGTGTCACCCCTCTCCCTTACTATATTATATATTTATCAGGTTAATACATTGTTTTGATAGTAAATTAAACGATTTGTTAAATTTGGTGTCACCTTTTAATTTGGTGTGGATCGCACCCCGCCACGTCTTGTTTTATGAATGGAAGTAAGTAATAAAAAAAAATTGAATAAATAAAAAAAAAACAGTTTTTAATTTTTTTTTTTACTTATCTCTGGAATGATTAAAATATATTAATACACATTAAATAAAGCTTTCAGAACCGTTGAACTAGCTTTTGGGTAGTAAACGTTAACTTGCATCATATTTTACGCAGGTAAAACCTCCACATCAGCCGAATCATCTTCTTCTTCGTACTCTGGGTATTCTGCGGATTCGTCTTCTTCAGATTCTAAGTCACGGGATTCGTCTGATTCTCCAGATTCGGAATCTCCTGATTCTGAATCGCCTGATTCGTTTTCTTCTGATTCTGAGTCACGTTTTTCCAAATCATCGAATTCGTCTGATTCTCCTGATTCGGAATCTCCTGACTCGTTTTCTTCTGACTCGTTTTCTTCTGACTCGTTTTCTTCTGATTCTGAGTCACGCTTTTCCAAATCATCGGATTCGTCTGATTCTCCTGATTCGGAATCTCCTGAGTCGTTTTCTTCTGACTCGTTTTCTTCTGATTCTGAGTCACGTTTTTCCAAATCATCGGATTCGTCTGATTCTCCAGATTCGGAATCTCCTGATTCTGAATCGCCTGATTCGTTTTCTTCTGATTCTGAGTCACGTTTTTCCAAATCATCGGATTCGTCTGATTCTCCTGATTCGGAATCTCCTGAGTCGTTTTCTTCTGACTCGTTTTCTTCTGATTCTGAGTCACGTTTTTCCAAATCATCGGATTCGTCTGATTCTCCAGATTCGGAATCTCCTGATTCTGAATCGCCTGATTCGTTTTCTTCTGATTCTGAGTCACGTTTTTCCAAATCATCGGATTCGTCTGATTCTCCAGATTCGGAATCTCCTGATTCTGAATCGCCTGATTCGTTTTCTTCTGATTCTGAGTCACGTTTTTCCAAATCATCGGATTCGTCTGATTCTCCTGATTCGGAATCTCCTGATTCGGAATCTCCTGAATCGTTTTCTTCTGATTCCAAATCACGGAATACTAATCCCCCTGTTTCATTTTTTTCTGATTCGTAGTCTTCGTTTTCATATTCCGGGTATTCGTATTCTCCTGTTTGGTTATTCTCTGAACCGTATTCTTCGTATTCATATTCCGGGTATTCGTAATCTTCTTGACGTTTCACCTCATGATCAGCCTTTCTACCTGTGTAAGTAAAAGAGCAATTTTAACAAACGGTGATAGTATTGAGAAAGAGGAAGAGGGATGTATACAGAGATAAAATGAGTGAGTGATAACATGTATGAGGAAGGTTAAGTACGAGAGAAGGAATGCTGTTGGTTGTTTGCCAGAAAATAACATCCAAATGTCGATTGTGGTCGGGTGGTAGAGCGCACAACTGCTAGTCCGGAGGTCTCGGCAGAGGCGTATCGAGGGGGGGGGGGCGGGGGTGCGGATCGCACCGGGTGACACCATTTAGGGGTGACACCAAGGCAAAAAATAGCAAAATATATAATAAAAAAAAATGACGGGGGGGGGGGGGGGTGCAAATCGAAAGTTTGATGGGGGGGGGTGTGCAAATTTGTCCCCGGGAAGGGTCGCTACTCCTTTGGGGGGGGGGGGGGGTGACACCGTTAAGTGCCGCACCGGGTGACACGCGACCTCGCTACGCAACTGGGTCTCGGTTTGATCGCGAAGAGCAAACTGTCACAGGAGTTAGCCTTTCGAGCATTCGGGGGTGTTCAGCTGGAGTGACGTCACACTTTTGCATTATAAAAAAAGCAACGTTAGAAAACGAGTTTTAGCCGTTATTTCGCGTTTTAGAAAAACTGTGTTGATTAATTGTCATAGAAATGTATTAAAATACTCTATGTTGACAGAATTCAGACTATATTTTGGAAAGGTATCGATGTTTCAAGAAAAATTTAACTGCAATTTTTAAAGGGTGTTGTAGGATGAGATTTGACGTCCTTGGGGGGGGGGGGGGGGTTTCTAGCTTTTTGTGACGATGTGTGACGGAGGGGAGGGGGGAGGTAAAAATCGTCGAAAAAAAGCGTGATGTCAGGCCAGAAGTATAAACACTATGACGAATTAGCTCTTCAAAAATGTATTGTTTTTGAACATTAACTTCCGTTTCAATCTAAAACGCCTCAATTCAACGGTTTCGTTTATTTTTAGTCTTACTACGGTAGAAAAAAAATATATTTAAAGCTAGAAAAATATTGAGACAGATTCTTCAATTATTATCTAAAAAAACAAACAAACAACAACCTAAATTTGCCTTCTCGAAAGCATTTACTCTAATTAGTTTTAAAGACTTGAATACACAAATATCAACGTGATTGATACAGAGATTTCTGTCTTGAATTGAAAATTTGAATGCTGCACCATAATGCTCCACCCACTACCTTTCAAACAACTTATTAAAAACGTCTTTAATAAAGCATATCTAGAAACTAAAACTAAAATTTAAAAATAAAGCTATATTAGCGGGGGAAAAAATTCAATTATTAGTGAATATTTTTAAAAATTGCATACATTTTTTTCTCAATAACAAGCTTTTATGTAATTATGCACTAAAATGGAGAAAATAAATGATTTTATTTAAATATAAAATAATGCACAACTATTTAAATTACTATAAAGAAAAGCGTCGGTCACTATATTATCTATTGGATACCTTTACAAATATTTAGGAAGAGGCCCACGCTTTTTTAGAAGTAATTTAATAGTAATTTAAACAACAGTGCATTATTTTATGTTTAAAGAAAATAATTTATTTTTCTCCTTTTTAGTGCATTATTATTAAAACGGTTTTTTAAATGCATGACTAAACACTATTGTGCACTAAATGAAGATGATATTGAGGTATAATAGTGCGGAGAGAGTAGTACAAGACAGTCTACTAATTTCAGAAATTTTTAATTAATTGATAAAAAATTAATTAGGCATCCTTTTAAATTAAATACTATGTCATATTGTATTGTCTTTAAGTCTTGACCCACGTGCCAACTTTAAAACGAATCGCTCAGTTAGAAGTGTCAGAAATTTCGCCCGTTTCGATCTATGACGACAAAGGAAGCAAGTTGAATAAAAGCTTGTAATAATTATTTTTAAAAAATCACATTACCCAAACTGAAAGCGTAACCGCTTGCAAAAGCTACGAACAAAACCACAAAGAAGATCTTGAAGTTTGCCATGGTTAAGCAGAAGCTTTAATGAAACGGATGGGAATCAGACTAGCATTTATACAAAACGTTATGAGAATCGGATTGTGCCATATGTTGTGTTGGGGTAAGTTGATACAACATGAAGACGTATCAAGTGATGTTGGTATGCTGAGAAAGGGAAATAAGGCGTGATTAAAATACGAGTTGTCGTTCTTGTGGTGATACGGGATGAAAGAAAGAAATCAATGTTAATGTTGCGAAATAGCATAACTTGCATAAGCAACGTGGCAATTCAGTAGTTTTGTTTAGAGTTGCAATTAGTAGGAGTTATACAGACACTACGCGCTGTGATTTAGTTTTGGTTATACCCGTTTTAATGTCTAAGTTGCCGTCTTAGGGGACATCTATGAATGACGTCACGCTTTTTAAGACGATTTTTACCTTCCCCCCTCCCCTCCGTCACACATCTAAAAATGACGTCACACCTCAGCCTACACCCCACCCCCCTCAAAATTGCATTTGAATCTTTCTTAAAACATCGATTTTTTCCAAAATCTTTTCTGAACTCTTTCAAAATAGAGTATTTTAATAAATTCATATTACAATTTATTTAAACAGTTTTCTAAAACACGAAATAACGGCTAAAAAAACCTTATTTTCTAACATTTCTTTTTTATAATGCAAAAGTGTGACGTCACACCACCCGACCCCTCCCCTCCCCCTCATCACACACCATCACAAAATTACTGACCTCCCTCCCCCCTACGAGTGTGACGTCATTTATGGACGACCCCTTTATGGGTGGTCTTTGAGGCTTTGATACACATTTTCTGTTTGACTGTGGCATACTTATTTAATAGTGGCAGAGCCTTTATCTTCTATTCCATCTTGTAGTGTAAATCACCAGTGTTTCTTTCAGGCATCTGTACGGAGTTATGTCCACCGACCCCGACCCCCTAACGAGCCCCTAATCCACCGACGGAATAGAAAAAATATACAATTTATACAGGAATATACAATTTATATAAGAAGTTCTAGACTCATCCTTAGTTATTGGCCTATCCAATTTAACAAAAAAAAAAAAGAAAGAACAACAAAGGCTTCCGTTTCCATTTCTCTTTCCAAACTATCATTGGAAATGGTTCTGGGCCAGTGGTGAGTTTTGAAAAGTCAGCCTTTGTTCTTGAATGATATTTTTTTCCCTCTTTTGTGTGGCTACAATGGCTGGCTTAGCTTTAATGATACATGTTTTTAATTTCAGTGGTGTAGTCAGCAAAAAATAAACCGGGAGTGATCTCCCCTAAACTTTCTCGAATATTCTAATATAACACTACGTGGGATGTCAACTCGGAATATAGACATGATTTTTGTTTACTTAAACTTTTAAAAATAGAATAAAATCTAGTAGAAAAAAAAATTGCGCACCAAGCGAGCACCAAAACCAAATGTGCGTAATAGTGCGCAATATTATTAGTACTTTATAAATTTATATGCGTTTTTTGAGAAATCGGAAATAGCGTACATTAGTACTTCCGGTCAACGGAAATTACTCAAAATTTGATAGAAGGTAGAGAATTAGATCTTTTACTTACATGTGAAATTTCATTTATCTATCTGAATTAGTACTCAAGTTATAGGCTTTTGAAAAATTCAAAGTAAAAAAAGTACCACTTCCGGTTATCGGAAATCGCTCAAAAGTTGATACGGATCTACGATTTTGATATAATACTTATATATGAAATTTCATCAACCTAGCTGTAACGGTACTCAAGTTATCGTGTTTACACACAGACACACAGACACACACACACACACAGACATACGGACAAGATTGCAAAATTATGTTTTTCCGTATCAGTGAGGTGTAAAACGTCGAGATTTGTAAAAATCTCGATTTTTTTTTGCACGATTACAATACTTTCTCTATACTACGTATATACGAGAAAGTAAAAATACTAGAAAGAAACCCTGTAAATCATTATCCAACCCACCTATTAGTATTGTCTATCTCCTGAAGACACAACTTCTCAATGGGCCAAGCACGGCTTGGGGTGGTTGATGCAGTCCGCACTGGGTGACAGACACAAAGGGGGTGACACCAAAACAAAATTTACCTAATTTCAACGAGAAATTCTGCTTTTTTCCCTTCTATCAAACTAGTGGCCTTTGTTGTAGAATTTCTCCCTTAACGGGCCAATTAACTAGTAACAAATAATCGGTAATACATTTTAAAAGTATCAAACATTTTTGTTTTGCATCAGACATGTAATTTACAGCGTTAGTTTACCTTGCCATGTTCGCTTTAGTATTACAATTTTCATCATCGGCTAGATTTACAATAGTAATATTTCTTTTGACATGTACTTCCCTCCATTTAAGACTTTAAGATGGTTTAATTATACATCAAAAAATTTCTAATTAAAATTTTATTTTTAAACCTGAAAATGTAAATGTGTAATTAAATGGGGGTTAAATGTTATTTTTCTCTCAGCTGTGGTGGTTTGAGGGGGGGTATGTGTTATAAGTAGAGCAGAAATAAATTTGGGATTAAAAATAAAGAAAACTATTTTAAATATTATAATCAGCATGGAGCCACATAAAATCAAACATTCTTCCCTTTCAAGCAGTCATATCTATTGCAGTCCTCCCAGTTTATTTATTTATTTTTCTACCTTCGTTTTTTTTTGCCTCAGACATGTAATTTACAGTAAATTACAGCATCAGTTTGCCTTGCATGTTCGCTTTAGTATAACAATTTTCATCATCGGCTAGCGCAGGGGTCTCCAAACTACGGCCCGCGGGCGGGATGCGGCCCGCGAGGTCCTCTCATCCGGCCCTCGGAGATAGTTTTGTCCACGGAAAAAGAAATGTTTGTTGGAGGTGGCTGAGGAAAAAATTATAAACAAATTGAAAATTTAGCATTGGGTGCAAATGCCACTGAAGCAAATGTGGCCAGTTGTCCAGCAAATGACCTCCTTAAAGGGCGAACAGATGCCTGGAAGAAACTCTGGCCCCCAAACTGATATTTGATAGTCAATGCGGCCCTCGGGCTGAAAAGTTTGGAGACCCCTGGGCTAGCGGATACATCAAGGGCAGCATACAGTCATTGCCAGGGGTCAATTTTGTGTCTTGGAAAATTTTTGAATGGTAGATCCGTATGAGTATTTCAGAGACACTTCTCTCACGGTCGTTTTTGTTTCTGTCCATGGGTGACTACAATCTGAACTTTTGACTTCGCAGCTGAGGATGGAGCACAGTAAACTAAGCCAGGGGTCGGCAACCTGCGGCTCGCGAGCCGCATGCGGCTCTTGTGATATCAAGATGCGGCTCTCCAGCTCCTTGCACAAATACTAATAATCTTAATAATATAATAAAATATTTGAAATAAAAAATATGTTAGTGGCTCTTTAAATCCATGGAAATTTTGAAAATTGTAACTTTTGGCTCTTCCGCTTCAAAAGGTTGCCGACCCCTGAACTAAGCAGTCAAAAGAAACCGAGTTGCACACCTTATTTTAGTCTAGTTCTTATGCCTTTTTACTTTATCCGTTTAATTATACAATTGATGTTTTTGTCTTTGAAACTGTGTACCAAATAAAATATTATTACTATTTTAAATGTTTAAAAAAATATAATTAAAAAAATAAAAACTGTGGGAGGACTGCTAAAGGTATAGATGTTTGAAAGGGAAGAATGTTTGATTTGATTAACTCGTCGTACTCAAACATTCCGTTTGCTTAAATTTTTTTGTAATTTTGTTTTTCTTTAATCCCAAATTTATTTCAGCTCTATTAAAAAGCCCAAACCCCCTCAGCCCACCACGCCGATGGGAAAAAAAATCCCTTAAATCATCATTTAATTACACATTTGCATTTTCGGATTTATGAAAAAAAGTTGTAATTAAACGTTTCGTATTAGATGTATGTATAAGTAAACCATCTTAAATGAATGTATTCTACAAGTAAGACGAAAGTATTATTATTGTAGATCTGTATCAGTCCTCGCAAGCTGACAATGAGGGCTGTAATGCTAACTAAGGCGAACATGCAGGGTAAAATTATCAAACATGTGTAGCGTACATAGAAGGGCCTTACAAAAAAAACGTCACCCGTCGGAAACATGATACCATTATTAATAAATGGTAAGTTACTTTATTATACGTTATACTTATTTAATAATATATCGTTATTATATTAAAAATCAAGAGTAAAATTTATTCCCAGTTATGAAAAATTTCAGAATATACATTAAAAAACATTAAAAGTGCTTATTTTTTTTAACAAATTTAAGAAAATTTCCCCATTATTTAATACTTACTTTTGTATTTTGATTTTAAATACTTTATTTTACCCACTCTTTGTTTGTTTCCCTTATCTACTTCTGAAACACAAATGGGATGCAATTTAGAATATGAATTATTTTAACTATTAAATTTAAGTGTTTTATATTTATAATCTAGGATTCTCTAGAACATGGTAGACGAAAACCAGAGGCGTTTCGGGTTTGGGAGAGCGGCGAGCCGAGAAAAAGCGATATATATATATATATATATATATATATATATATATATATATATATATATATATATATATACAGCTGTATGGCGTTACTTCGCTAAGGTGAAAAATATATTCGAACTTTACTCTGTAGAAAACAAAATAACACGCCATGTAGGCCGACAACACAAACCAATATATTACACAAAATAAAATACAGCACAAAATATACACGCAACATAACCAATAACAAGAACCGCAACTCAATCTTTTTTGCAGTCCTTGTAAAAATTTTTTTGACCTAGTGGAGTATTAAGACAAGTTAATTACAATACGGGAAATAATCACTCTCTTAATATTAATATGTATAGATCTACATATTTAATTGTAATTGTCAAATTCAACTGGATAAATAATTACTGTATTATTTAATATTAAAGTTTATTACGATTTGTTTTAAATTTTTTACTACAATCAGAATCTATATATATAATTCTCTTCTTGGAGCCCATAGAAAACACTAAGCTGTAAGCGCGCTCCCTACCATCCCCACCCCTACATTACCTA